GGCCAGTGACAGTAAATGGATAGCGATGCAAGTGGCGCTGGCGATGCTGTCCATTATGATGGCGTGCCTGCTGATCTGGAACTTGTACATGGGCCACATCTCTCCATTCATGTGTTGTGGGAGGCAACCAATCAAAAGCCATGGGAATCTTCCAAGAATGGAATATAAGTCTGCGGGAAATGATGTCATGGACAGTAAACCTCAAATGGTCAACTTGTGTGTCACAACGAACAGTAATCTAGAAGTGACTGGCTTCCACAGGAATGGGGATCCCTCAACGGGCATTCATTTGTTTAAGTATATCACTGATGAGTCTGAGATTTGATGTTCTTTTACTAAATCATTTTGTATAATTTTTATATTTATTTATTTTTTTATTAATACTAATAAAAAGTAAAAATGTATAATTTTCGGCCAAATTTAAAGGTGCTTTATGTAGGCTTTTGACTTTTCTAAAGCATAAAAATACCATAATATAATAGTTTGCAGATATTTTGGAAATTTGCTAAGTAAACATTCTTGTTCATCTGAAAAATAATGCTGAAGTCTGAAGAGAATGCTGAAGATATTCTGCTTTGAAAATGTGCTTTGCGTGCCGGAGTGGCTGTCTTTGTTTCGGTCCCTTTAACCAGCCCAATGCTTGTTTAGTCAATTATATTTCAGCACCCCGGGTTGCCTTAATGGAAAATTAGTGCATTTCATTCAATCAGTCATGAAGGCTATCAAAGCATGCGTCCGTGACCGAAATGCAACCTCCAGTGGACAGTAGTGGACTCTGAAATGAGATGCAGATTCAGAGTTCCACAAGAGGTGGTTTATTAATTAGCAAATAATACAAATATTAAAGAGCGTAAGCATTAGGTGAGCAGGTTACATTTTAACCCTGTGTCCTAACAAGACGCTACGTGAGGAGATTTGCAGTGATAAGATATTTGGCTGTTTGTACCAGATAAAACATGACATAAATTTAATACAGCCATTCAGAAGCACAGAATAGTTCACTCGCTGCACTCCAACGAAATGGTAAGGTTTATAATCTAATTAATACATATTAAACCTCTTTAACGTTATTAAATGTACATGCTGAATCACTGATATGTGTTGGCTTGCACTGAGTCACAGTTCTAAAGTTCAAGTGTAATACCTAGTTCAACCACTGGGTATCAAACTTACATGCTGCACTTTTAAGTATTTAAGTATTTTTCAAGTTCAAGAACAAAAATCCTGGTTTGTAAAATGAATGTTAAAAACAACTGGAACCCCTTAAAGGTAAATGAAGATCATACATCCTACCAATCAGGACCTGCATCTGCACTATGATACCATCTAACTTTGCAAAACCCCATACCTCACATCTCGCTTTTGAGTGAGTGTTACAACACAATTATAACAGCTGAATATCAATTGGTGCCGTGACCTGGTGTTGTACTTGTGTATTTTCTAAAGTCCCTCAGTTGTGCTGTGTTAAATGTTCCTTATTTTGTTTTGGAGTCTATTAAAATAGTTTTACATCCATCCAAGGTAAAAACAAACAAAGAAATACTAAATTGTCTTGTACTATCATTTTGTAGGCCTTAAAATGGTTTGTTCGAGGATCCAGTCTCTCTAAGCTCCTCCTACTTTGCCGAGATTGGTCAGATTGGTATGTGATTGGTTGAAATCAAAAGCATATTACCATATTTAAATTTGGAAGCTTCTGTAAACCAATTGAATATGGCTTCCATTTAACCATATCAGTTCAAGAATTTGAAGTGGTTTTGCAGAGCAGAAAACATTGCCTTCATAACATTTTCACAACTAATCCAGCCTTTAAATTTTACCTATTTGAGGGTCAAAGTAGACTACAATTATAGAATCTAATAAATCCCAATACTGCTGTTATGTAATTGAGACAAGAGTACGAATGTATTAAAAGCAAGTCCATGATGAAAAGGAATGTTTTTATTGAACTGAACTCAGTTAGAGAGTCGTTTCAGTCACATTTCATATGCAAGATCATTAAATACACAGGCTAACCGAGGCCAGTTGTAGAATGCTGTAAAATCACCCTCCTGTGGCTGTGTGGAGGGATGTTGAGAAAAAAGAATCAAAAATCAAGTCACATTTTGAATCTGAGTGTCTTTCCTCCAGCCAACCTCAAGTGTAAACATTAATGCTCCAATACCAAGCACAATGATTATTCGAAAGAAATGCAAATACATAATTAGAAACCAACAGTTAAAAAGTAGGAGCATGTAGCGTGCTAGCACTTAAGGGAAAGTTAGTTCAAACATGCTTAATAATATGCATGAAGAATTAAGGCGGTCTTCACTGAGAAGACGTGATAAGCTTAAAACAAAAAAAGAGAGCAGGCACAACATGTGATCGCAAGGAAACATTCCAGTCATAGATATAAAATAAAAACATCTGCAGTGTATAAAAAGGGGGAATGGGGGTGTCATGTGCATTTACAAAGACATGCTTGTGAATTGTAAAAGTCGCACAATAAAATTGATAGTAATTGCGAAAGTGATTCAAGACCAAATTTCTAGAGGTAAATCGAAAAGCTGCCATGATTTAGAAAAGAACACTTGGACATGCTTTTTCCTCTCTTAGAAATCACTTTCCCTAAAACGGTAATGTGATTATGTGCGATGCAGTGAGATTTCCATCTATCTCTATAATCCTCCAAATTTAGTGATTGGAGGTGCAATTATTGATTTAATTGGCAAACAAGTCAATGGAATGTCAGTATGGGTGTGTTCACACTTGGCTTTGTTAGTGTGGTTTACTTGAATAAGTCGCCGCCATCAGAATTTTGGGAGTGCACCAAACAAAATTAACTTGACTATTAACAAAGACATCAAACAGAAGCAAAACCAGGACATGATGGCACTAGATAAAACCTTTAAAATGACAGAATGCTCAAGAATACCTGCTTTTCTCCTCCTCGTTGTTGTTGCTTATTAACAAAGACTTTAGAATGCACAAGACATGTCACTCGTATAGTTTTGAATGGGGAAAAGTGTAACAGTCAATATGGCGAATGAAGCATGTATTAGTACAGGAGCCAATCATCAATTGCTATAGACTGACGTTTCTCCGAGGGAGCAGCTCAGACCTGGCGTGTGCTTTTACGACAGTTTGGTGGTCAACAAATGCAGTGGAATCGCAGCAAATACTTGCTTCACAGAAATATATCCACATAAAGCTTGAAATCTGTACTTAAATGAACCAAGTGCACTTGAAAACGAATGAACAAACGCGAGGTACACTTCGATGCACCATCAAGACAAAGTTGTGAATTACTTGTGAAGACCAGCGAGATCTGATAAAGTATTATCCAGAAGGTGATAATGTGTAGAATGGCCTTAAATGAGGTTGGTGTTGTGATCTTGTTCCTTTCGAGTGCGCATTAGCTCAGACAACTTGAAAAAGAATCTTATTGTGTTTGACTCGGACGTTTAGAAATGAAACTTATGAGACGGTTGTTGTTTAATTTTATTGGTGATTCCATGTATGTAAGAGTAAGCTTGGCAAACAGTTTTGGAGAATTTGATGATTCCCCATTCAGACAGAATGCCCGAGCATACTGCTCGAGAGGCATTTCAAAATGGCCGTCAAGTGAAATTACTTGCCTTAAAGGAACTTCGTTATTATTAGGGATGAGCCAAAATGACAATTCTGGGCAGAAACTGAAAATTATAGATGCACTTTGGCCAAAACTACTTTATAGTAGTTATAATATTATAAAACAAAAACATCCTTGCAGGTTGAATAGGGCTGGGTGATCTTGATATCCGATTATAGTCTCTTAACCCACATTCGTGCCACTGCTGACTGAATATTTAAACCAACGCTGTTCATTTTCAAGTCGAAAGTGTATAAGCCTTCAGGTTTCATCAGGCATCACTGTTGTTTCTGCCAGATCATGTTGTAAGAAGCACGAAATTGTATTTACACCGTGCTTATTCATGATGTAACCACAAGAAACAGCATTAACATTATACTAGACGAGCTGTAAAAAACATCTTCAGACCTATTCTGTCAAGTCATCTGGTAACGTTATTAGAATTTAAATTATGTAGAATATTTTGCATTATAAGGGACTATCATAAGCAGAACGTTTTCTGAAGATCGTGAAGGTACCACGTTAACAATGTTATTAACCTAATAAATCAGATGCTGCTTTTGTAGTAAAAAACCCTTAATGCTCATTTACATTTGTGGGCTTCCTTGCTTGCTTTTGCAGCCATGTTGCTGGTGTATTTGGAGATTTGCATAGCCCTTCGTTTGTAGTGTGGTGCTAACGATTCATCATTTATAGGGCTATGGGGGAAGTGAAAAGGCTAAGAGGTAGAATTGGGATTGGTCGTAAATGTAAGATACTTGTTTTGGTTTAGACCAGGGCTGTCCAAACTCCATGCTGGAGGGCCGGTGTCCTGCAGGGTTTAGCTCCAACTTGCTTCAACACACCTGCCTCGAAGTTTCTAGAATACCTGAAAAGTGCTTGATTAGCTGGTGTGTTTAGTTGGGGTTGGAACTATATGCAAGACACCGGCCCTACAGAACAGAGTTTGGACACCTCTGGTTTAGACTAAACAAAACCTGGAAATCTGAACAACAAATGTGAACACACCCTAAAATATCTCAAATATAAATCAAGGCTCAGATGATTTGAGATGAATGATCAATGTAACAGTTTGGTATTCCCAGATTTGTGTACTGCCGTTCCAGCATTTCTGTCAGTATGAGGGTAGTATATGTTGACACAGTTTTAAAGGAGCAGTTTGCTTATTTGACTTGGCCGTTTTACCTTCTCTGTGACATTTGCGCCCAGAACAGTGGTTTGACATTTCCAATCATCATTCACACTTTAAATGAGTTTGCTAGATCAAAATGCATCAAGTTTATGAGAAATAATTAGCATTAGATCTTTTTGCTATATTAAAAAAAATATATACACAAGTCTGTGATCTGGCCAAAGTGTTTTCTTGGCACACAAATGTTGGGCAACGTCGCTCTGCAAACTGCGCCTTTAATATTAGGACAACCAGTGTTGCTTTGGCTCCATCTGTAGATCAGAAGTGGTATCACCAGGGCCCGCTTTCTGGGTAATTGGGCACAGCGGCTGGGTACTGGGGCAGGCTGGGGCCAGTTTCAGAGATGGCATTGAATCCAGCTTCTCTTACAGTTGGATTTTTCCATGCACCGGTGGTCCATTCTTCCTGTGCCCGCTGAAAACTGCCCCCTCCGCCACGATACAGTCGATGAACCTTATTAAACAATATTAAAGACACTGTTCACCCAAAATATGAAATTATTCTGTCATCATTTATTTAACCTCTACTTGTTTCTCTCTTCTGTTGAAAATAAAAGAAGATATTCTGAAGAATGTACAAGTAGCCAATGGGTTTCACAGTATTTTTTTTCTCCTTCTATGGAAGTCAATGGTTACCGGCCTCCAGCATTTTTCTAAATATCTGCTTTTGTGTTAAACCCCAAATAATAATTAACATGTGAACCACTCGAGGGTGAGTAAACTGTAAATTTGATCTTTAGGTGTGATTTAATTCATTCATTTTCCTTCAGCTTAATGCCTTTTTTATCAAGGGTCACCACAGCGGAATGAACCGCCAACTATTCCAGCATACGTTTTACACAGCGGATGCCACAACCCAGTACTGGGAATCATCCATACACTCTCACATTCATTCATGCACTATGGTCAATTCAGTTTATTCAAATCCAAATGGCAACTGGTCCAGCTGGAAATCGAACCAGCAACCTTCTTGCTGTGAGGTGAACCACTGAGCCACCGTGCCACCTTGTGATTTAATTATTTAACGTAAAAATAATTTTTTTCACGTTAAGGGGTGTGTGTGTGTGCGTGTGTGTGTGTGTGTTTGTGTTTTAAATCCTACCTTGATGAGAACGAATGCCATGAGAAGTGCGTTTACAGTGAAGAGCAGAGTGCAGATGAGCATAAATATAGCCGCGACTACATCTGTGCCAAAGAATATCACTGTGGCAATCCAACCACTGCAAAGACAAAACAGTTTGAGTTAACATCAATAGAATAAAATGACAATGTAGAAAAAACTTATAAAGATTAAAGGTTAATATAAACTTATTTAACTTAATAAATTGAAAATACATTTTCATACAAGATGATGAAACAAAACATGCAGCATTTAAACAACAAGGAGATTATTACACAGAGCTAATAAATGTCATTTTTTTAAAAAAAAAAGAAAGATAAATCTGTGTACATGATGATTTTGAGCAGGGGTGTCAAACTCATTTTTAGCTCAGGGGCCACATGAAGGCAAATCTTTTGCCAAGTGGGCCGGACCGTTAAAATCATGGTGTGTATATATATATATATATATATATATATATATATATATATATATATATATATATATATATATATATATATATATATATAACATAAAACAACTTTAGATTGCTTTCTTTGTTTTATTTTGATCAGCAAAAAATATAAAGCTGGAGCCTGAGGACAACACGGTCTCACAGCAATTCCTAGCTTTTTGGTTTAGTGGCTAATTCATATGAATTTGTAGAATCTCATTCGTAAAATTTAGTTCGATTTGCTTATCCACCAGTGATGGTTGGATTTAGGGGAGTGGTTGGGTGCCACGCCTCCTTTTTTAAATTGTACGAAAATTTGAACTTGTGGTATAGGTGAATTTGTTTGAATTAGCCACTAAACTGACAAAACGTCAAATTGTTACGTTTCCTTGTGAGATCACCTCAGTATGGTATGGCAGGGCACATCTATGTTCTAGCTCTCTTTGAGAAGACCGTCAAACTGACGCTGATTCAGGCTTCTGGATTGGATGAAATTAACAGTTTGCCAATGTGTCAGTGGACTCAACTGAAACAGCAGTTTCTTTTATTGAAAACTTACAGCTCATTTTTATACTTTAAAGAATCATCTCGCGGGCCGGATTAAACCAGTTTGCCGCAGGCCATACATACGTCACCCCTGATTTAGCGACATTTCATAACACTGAGATGATGAAATGTAATATTTTAAACATCTTTCAAAATTATTCATTAATAACTTAACTTAAGTCAATAGGCGTGTACATTTTGTAAATAAATTGCAGTACTCCAGTATTAAATAATACGCCTTAAAATTTCATCCCTTAAAGTTCAAATAGTCTGCTTGATTGAGTCTTAAATATAACAATTTGATTATTTTGATTATATATTTGACAATTAAAAAAATGAAGACAAAAAGTCATGACAACAAATATTTTGTTACTCTAACTGATTTTAATAAGTTCATCAGGTTTCAACTAAAGTTCTACAATGTTTCAAGTTGAGATGACTAGAAAAGTTCATTTGATTCAACAAAAATGTAATTACTGCAATTTATGCGATTCATTAGTTAATCAGTTAATATTAACACCACACACAAAAACAATTCCTAAAATATTCACTTAATTGCCATTGAATGTAACTTTTTATACATGTGACACTTCGTTACTGCACTCATTTTGTTTTAATACAACGTAAAAAAAAAAAAAAAAAAAAAATATATATATATATATATATATATATATATATATATATATATATATATATATATATATATATATATATATATATATATATATATATATATATTCTACACTATTTAGTTTCTACTTTTAACATATGCGGAAAAAGTCTATTTCATATTATTTTTCTATATAATATCCAACCACTTTAAACATCCATATCTGCTCAGATTGTAAACTAAACTTATAATTCCATAGGGGCGAACAGTTAATTGCTGAAGCTCTCATTACATAATGATCATCCCAACATTTAAATCCCACTCACCAAACGCCCCAACCGGATATTCCCAAACTCTGGATAAAGGCAAGCACACATTGCAGGAAGAAAATGAAGAAGAACGCCATGAAGTTGAAGGAACTATCAGCCCTGAAAAGACAAAACCCATTCAATCAGAAGTGAAAACGCTAACATTCCTCCCCTCAAAACAAGGATCTGCTTACCGGAATGCTTTATAAAGCGGTCTGAACCAGCAGGTGTAACTGCACGGACTGAAAATCAGCAGCCAGAGCAGCGAAAACCCAAAGTTGGTGGCATTACCACCGCCGGCCCACCAGGCTATGCAGCCCACCACGTTCACACATAATGTCATGGAATACACTGGGAAAGCAGAAGTTTTGGTCATTAGCATGGCTGTGGATATCTCAGAGGCGGTTGTTCAAAATCATGATATAATTGTCCAAAAATAACAGCTTTACTTTGGCGCTACAATGATGTTGGATAACAGCGATAACCCCAAGCCGTGAGGGCGGAACAAGGCCGGTGGCGTTAGTGTTAACCGTGTGTTCATTTATTTATTTAATAAAATCATTTATCGGTTCTCTGCTTTTCAGTTTCTGATTTGGAATGTATGTTGAAATGAATGTAAATTCTAGTACAATCCTTAAGTGTTATTCTATCTAATTATTTCATATTTCAGATCTGTGTTATGACAGAAATTTTAACTCGATTAATATAAGCTATAAATAAATGAATATGAAAAAGTCACTTTTGAATGTTACCATCTGTTTACCATACTGTATTTACTGCTTTTTGATAATAATTTTTATTTGTAAAAGAAAATCAAAGTTGCTGAAATTTATAAAGATATATTTTGAAATATACAGATTTATTTCTAATATCATTGTTTGTAAATTATGAGAAAGTATATGACGATTTTAACTTTTATTCCTAGAATGTAGCCCTAACATTTCAATGTATATAAAGCAGGGGTCACCAACCCTGTTCCTGGAGAGCTACCTTCCTGCAGAATTCAGTCCCAACCATGCCCAAACACACCTGAACCAATTAATAGTGCCTAAAGCAGCACTTGATAATTACAAACAGGTGTGCTTGGTCAGGGTTGCAACTAAAATGTGCACGAAGGTAGCTCTACAGGAACAGGATTGGTGACCCCTGATATAAAGCAATCATATTTCTATCAAAACAATATCAAGATAACTCTGTAAAGTTCCCACTTTCAACTTTCAGATGAAAAGCGAATACATTTTTAAAACCATACATCCATATTCATATTTGTCAACACAGTCCCAGAAGTTAGATATGGTGTAAAGATGTTCGACATGGATATAATTAAAGATGATTTTGATAAGTTTTTTTTCCCCATAATGACCCAAAAATAAAACACATAACCTTTTTAGAAGGTTATACATCTCTAACAAATTAACAAAAACAAAAAAACTCATTTGCATTGCATTCAACTTATTTGTAATATCCAGAGACACAAACAAAGTTTTTAACAAATTAACAAATAGATTTTATACTTTTTTCAAAATAAACTCTTCTAATAACTCACACTAGAATATGGCTTTAAAAAAAAGTGTGGTTATAGGTCAAAGTTAGTCATTTGGCTTATTAAAGATGCCATTTTAAAAGGTCATTATTTTCATTCATTCATTTTCTTTTCTGCTAAGTCCCCTTATTAATCAGGGTTCGCCACAGCGGAATGAACCACCAACTTATCCAGCATATGTTTTTTTGCAGCAGATGTCCTTCCAGCAGCAACCCATAACTGGGAAACATTCATACACATATAAACTACAGACAATTTAGCCTACCCAATTCACCTATACCACATGTCTTTGGACTTGTAGGGGAAACCGGAGCACCCGGAGGAAACCCACGCGAACACGGGGAAACAGAGATGGGGAACTCGAGTGGCATGACTTAACTCGAGTCAGACTTAAGTCACAAAATTTAGGACTTGAGACTTGCTTGACAAATATCCAAAAAGACTCGACTTGACTTCGACATGACTTGAGACTTGACTTGGACTTGAGTTAAATGACTCGAAATAACTTTTTTTTTTTTTTTGTTAAATACATAACCTTTTGTCATGTATTATGCTTTATGCATTTAAAAAAAGTAAGTAACTTTAAGTAATTTGTGGAGTCGTGTTTATTGCTAGAATGTAATGATGGGGGGGATGGGGGCCCAGAGACATTATCAAGGGCCCGTTCAATAATTCATTCTTGAATCTACAGTAAACGACTCAGAAAAACTACTAAACTCAGAATGACTGGTCTAAACTGGCTGCAAAATATACCAACACAATTAGTTATGGTTAATCCAGGGGTTTTCAAACTGTGGGTCGCACAGTGAACAAAGGTGGGTCGTGCAACGTCACATAGCTGCAGCTATATTTACATTGCTGTGAATCAAAACCAGTACGATAGACGGCAAGAACTCTAAAACCTCTTATCCTAAAAATATATAAAGTGTGTTTCCTACAAAAAGACAAAGCTGGTTATGTTTCACAGCTGTCTTTTTCTTTTTTTTCGCTCGACATTACGAGCACTGCTCCGTTTGAGCCCTCGCAATCTGCGTTTAGCTGGTAGAGCTCACGCTGAGCGGAGTTCTCAGTAAGGGACCTTCGGAAAAGTGCTTTTTTTTTTTGCTCCGTCCTGCATGTTTTATTTTAAACACAACTAATTTTCTCTTAAATAAACACAAACAGTTACTAAAGTATTCGAATACTTTCATTATACATCTGTGCATTCTTACATTAACATCTGTTATCAAACAAAACACAATGAGAGATTCATTTGCTGCTCTTCACTAAATAACTATAGTAACTTTCATCAATATGCAAATACAATTAAAAGTGAAATAGATTTTATAGCTTTTTTTAATTTCTGGATAGGCCATTGATTTTAAAAGGCTAAACCTTTTATTTTATTGTCAATATTTTCTAATGTTTGCTATGTATTCTATCATTTGAAGCTATTTGTTGTCCCGTATTTTTTACATCCCAACGTTGACAGATTGCTAATCAATAAATAGCTGTAGTGCTATCTGTTAGTTTTAACGTCAGCTAATGTTATGGAAGGGCATAGATGTTATGGAAAATAGTAATAGTAATGCACATACCCCCATCATTCCTTCCTCAAGCAAATGTGTAAATATTAGATTTATTCAGCAATAATGTTAATTGCATTGGCATATTTATCTGACGTTTCCCAGCTTATAGTAGTCGATCAAAAAGCTATTTAGTTTCTTATGACTAAACACTAGCAGTGGAGTTTATTGTGATGTGACGGGGCTTGATCATATTCAAGGGGCTTAATCAAAGGTTGATCATACTCTATTCTAAAAAAAGAAGAGTATCTTTTTCAACAACAAAAAATGATCACAGTTACAGCCAGCATCCCACAAAAAGCACTTCAAGTCTCATTTTGTGCATATCAAATCGCAAAATCCGAAAAGCCACACACCATATATTTTTGACTGCTTTGAATGAATACATTTTTTTTTACCCATTTTTCCATATTAAAATACTATGGTGGGTCTTGAGATTGAATTACTTGCCTAGGTGGATCCTGGAATAAAAAAGTTTGGGAATCCCTGGGTTAATCAAAGCATTTGCCTTATTTAAATAATCTACACATTTTAATCTTGTAATTTTTAGAGATATTGTCTGTTTGTTTTTTTTTAACTCTTTCTGTCATTTGTTTTTCATTTCTAATTAAAGACCAAAACAGTCAAATTTCTCTATTCCAAAACAAGAATGTGTTGTGTAAACATACCTTAAACTAGAAACTTCCTGCAGGTGTTTTGAAGCAAGTTGAAGCTAAACTCAGCAGGACTACGGCCCTTCAGGATCAAGTTTGGACATGCCTGCCCTAAAGTAACAATCTAATGCATTACTTTACAATTTAATTTAATCTTTAAGCTATTTTTCTCAATGCATCTCAAACTTTCTTCCTTAAATTTTCGTTTTTCGACAGCAAACCTCAAAATACCCATGCGTCCAAGTGTCCATGACTGCTTAATGTTTAAATGCAGTTTAGCTAAAAATGTAGATCCTGCTATGGTTTACCCTTTTAAATCGTGTCATTGCAAAACCAAACACAATTTGTCCTGAATTTTTTCATAACCACATGTTTTTTTCTCTCATGACCAGGCCTGTCACAATAATCAACATGTAGACTTATCACACTACACATGGACATGACCTCAATCAGTTTTGGTGATGCAATATATATCGCCCATACATAAAAGCCAATTCTAGCAACATTTTAGCTAATTTGTGCAACATCTCTCAATTGGAGGTGTCAGTGTCAGTACGGTGAAAAAAAACCACTATAATATTTACTAAAAATTAACCAAATATCAAATTCCCTGACTTTCCCTGAATAAAAAGCTGAGTTTCCATGACCTATAATGAACAAAACAAAAAAAAGCCGCTGTTGTGCTTTGCATATTATAATGATTTTAGCTTCAACATCATAGTGTATGATTTAAATAGACAATATGAAAACAACAAAGGATAATTTACTGTACCTCAGATTTTGAAACAATTCTAAGGTACATGTTTACGTGACTACGAAGAGCTTGCACTTCTGTATTTGATAGCTTTACAGAAGTTCTACAAACTTTTTTGGCACCCAGTTTTAGTTGAAGTGGTCACTTTGAAGCCAAAGCTTCTAAAATGTTTATTATCCTGTGGTGCGTTTCCCAAAACCATCGTTAGCCAACTAAGGTCGCAAGTTCCGTCGTTACAAACATAGTTTGTTGATTTGCCGTTTACCAAATCCGTCACTCCAACGAACATTCGCAAAATGCATCGCAAACTTGAGCACTCGCAACTACACCTCTGGAGCTGTTAGAAACATAGTTCCTGGCTGTGTTCTATTCCCACTTATCCCCCCTATGCCCTATTCATTTAAAACATTTTTACATTCAAAGTTGGAATTATGAAAAGTAAAAAAGCATTAAAGTCATCTCTCTTAGGTGTAATTTGCTTTCAAACTATTTTTACAGTTCAGTTTTGGCGATCTTCATGTTTACAATTTTGCTCCCTTCAAGTGCACTTTGAAAACATTGATGTCATTTTGAACACAGCCTCATGGCGAAAGCTATAGGTGACCTATTATTTGAAGGCGGAATTTATGTTACGTCTCCAAAGCTTAAGAAAACAAAAAGCAGACGTTAATTCTTTTAATTTATAGTGGGTTATTTATTAAGTCTCTGTACTGTATATGACATGGGCCTGCTGGTTAAAACTTTTTTATGTAGTTTACATGTGTCAAATTGTAAAAATAGACTTTTAAAAAACAAATAAATAAACAAACAATATCCTACTTAATAATAATATTAAAATCATCATCATCAATACTATTAATATTATTATTAAAGTATGATTTTTGTTTTCATTTCTAAAACATAATAATTATTAAATTTCATTTCATGATAAATCGCCTCAATATTTATATGATTTATATATGATATTAGAACACGTGCTAGCGTTTGTAAGTGATTTTATGTTTTAAAATATGATATGTCATTTTCAATAATATTTGTAAAACAAACAGGCCCGATATGTGCCATATATTTCAGTTAATATGGAAAGCGAGTGCATGTTTTTACCAAATCTAATATCTAAAGAATCTAAATAATCTAAAGAAGTTGTCTCTCCACCCAGTTTAGAGTGTGATTTTGGGCGTTTTACGCTATAACTAACGTGGTTCAAGTGATGGATCTGCGACAGAGAAATGATGCATTTTTGGAAACACTTGTCACTACATCGTTCTTTTCCCAAACGATGCATCATTGTACTATGACAGTTCAGCTGCGAGTTACGTCGTTGTTTGGGAAACGCACCCCTGAATGGTTAGCTTTAGTTAACATCGACAGCCAGTTGATGAGTGTGAAAGGAATAAAATGAAGCTAAGAAATAGCAATAGTCTTGAAACAATGCAATAAAATAGCATCAAACAAAAATTCCTGATACGATGACATTCAAGAAATTCTGTGACTGGTGGGAACCATTAGTAATCACAATCTTCAGATAAGATAGACTCTCTGGTAAGAACTGAAATGGATATCTTTAAAATAGACAATTATTTACTCACACATCCAAAGATTGTAGACGCGACGCACAAGCTGGCGGTGGGGTTGAGGAATTTCCTCATCAAAATTTTGGTAAAAGCATGGCTTTATACGAAGAAATTTTGGCAAAGGAGGGAAGTTATTTGTTCGATCTGTCAGACAAAGCACAAATAAAAAAAGATTTATACCAAAGCACAGCATGAGGTGAGATTCATAGTTATTACATGACAAAACCAAACGTGACTCACCTGTCATGTTTCAATTTAGAGAAAGTTCACAATGTTGATCCTTCTGGTGAAGGTGGACTTTTACTCTCCCTGAACTAATGGACTGATGGTTTTTAATGCTAAAAGGAACACAAATATCATAAAAAAGGGGAAAAAACTAATAACACATATTAAAATATAAGTAGTTTTCCTAAATTATATCAGTTGAACCACTTAAGTTCATAACAGCTTTCTCTTAAGAACATAAATGCTTAATAACTAGCAGCATATGACTGTATTAATCCTATATATATGATATTTGACAGTAATAATGTTACGTGAAAACAGTACAGGCCAGCAGCTGCACTGTCAAACACAACTGCAGTAAAAAAACAACAGACAAACTATACAGTAACTGCGCAAAGTATAGTCCCTAGCTATAACAGAATAAACGATGTTTTAACAGTACAAATAAAGCACGAACTCATAATAATAAACATGCATTACCTGTGTACCGCTAAATAGTTTGATGGGGATGCGTCTGCAGTCCGCATTGAATTCTAGAAATCACGTGGTGGCGCGTTCTGGTGCATTGTGGGAAATGTAGTTCTACGTTGGCACGTTTTGCACGTAGCGGACAGAAATTGTAAGCAGTAAAGACTACAAGCCCCATCGCAAAACTATCAAAGGTGTGGTATCTGCGCTTGTGACTAGATAATTTACCAGTTTTCCTGCCCTGTGGCAATTGATAAATATGACACGTTTCTGCTATTTTTTGCAGAAGCGTGTTACTTTTTACCAAATGTTAGAAGCGGGTACTGAGATACAATGTGATAGTTTGTTTTAAACTACCTTTAAAGGACTGTTAGTTCAAATAACAATTAATTATTTGCTGTCCATTGTTTTATTGGGAGAAAATAATAACTTTGTAATTGTCAAAACGGTTTTCGCTTCGTGAAACTAACAAAATCTGCCGCAAAAATTACCAAGTCAAAGCAGTTGCACGGAATAACTTTTTGACTTATTATTTGCTTCAAGCCAATCCTATTCGAGAATCATACTCATTGTTCAATCGCAGCTCAAAGCTACGTGTTGGAAGGCAGGACTACGAGTATCAGCCAATAACGTGTATCTTCGTTGATACGACGTAGTGCCCCACTGACCAATCACAGCTTTCGATCCAGGCCAGCGGCAAGCTCCCGCCAATTCTGAGCGGGGAGCGCGAGGGAGTCTGGCCGGGGATGAGACGGGAACGCGGGGAGCAGGATCACACACGAAAAAAACAACAAATTAAACCTCCAAAAGTTACAGAAACCTGTCGAATTAGCGGTTGACAAGTTAACGTTACCCTGGAAAAGTCGTGGAGTCGATGAGTGGCCGTAAGAAGCTGTGTAAGACGTCCAAAATCGCGCTCCCCGTTTCCGTGTAAGATTTCCAGTGTGAGCGAGCGCACGGAGCCGAAGGGCGCGCGGATGGTGGTCGTGATGCTCGCGGCCGAAGAGCCTTTGGCCTCCACTCCACGCAGAGGTCTGGGTTTTATTGTAAAATACATTATTTGCTGATTAATTACATCGATAAGAATGTCGTAATTCAACGCAGATGAATGATTTAACTTAAGTGGACAATAGTACTGAAAAATTCATATTTTACCTTTCAGTTATTCAGAAAAAGGGTTATTATTGGATATTTGTCTCTGAAAATGATAAAAATGCTATTAAGGTTTTGTTTACTTGTAACGTTAGTTTTCGTGGTTGTCGAAAGTTTTATAATCTAAATTAGCACATTAGCAAGTGAGCTATTCGGTCAGATTTGTTATTGACAATTAAGTTTTTACTTCCAAAATGTGCATTTAATTTCGTATTTTGTTTGTTTTCCCTTATTTCTCGAGTATTTCTAAAAAAATGTCTCACAATTGTTATTTTGAGCTTCGACTGGTTCTTTGTTCTTCAGTCTAGTGTTAATGTATTAAGTTAATGGCTCAGGTTCAGTAGCCAAACTCAGTCGCCACAGGCCTGCAAACCATCATTCGCTGAATGGCGGGAGATTAAAAATGAACATTATCACCCTGTTTGCGTCTATTGCCTTCTTGCAACTCTTAATACTTTATCTTGAAGCTTTTTGACACTCAAAACGTGAAGGTTTACCGTTTATGCTCGAAAAGAGGAAAAGTGAGGTCATGTTCGACTGTGACTGTCAGTAGTTAGCATGCAGAAGTAGCAATCACCTTTGTTATGACGAGACATGTTTTGACAACAAACACTCATGTTTTCTGACGAGTTTTGATTTTAGCGATTTGTCAACGTTCATGTCACATTAATGTCATTTGATTTATTTGTACTTGTGTTTGTTAAGCATTTGACTTAACACCTTTTGTTTATTTCAGATATGGATTGTGTGGGCAAAGCTAATACCAACAAGAAGCTTGTTCAAGGTAAACAACAATAGTTTTGGGAATTTAGGCTATTAAAGTTATGACATGCTACAAAATATATTTTGTTTGGTTTAGTCATGCATTTAGGACCAGAGCCAATGCATAATTTAAGTTTTTGATTATACTATTCTACAATTTCTTTATAGCCAAAATGCATTGTAATTGTGTAAAAGTGCAAGATACTCGAGTATATTGGCTTACTTTTCTTATACACACACACACACACACACACACACACACACACACATATATATATATATATATATATATATATATATATATATATATATATATATATGTATATATATATATATATATATATGTATATATATTAAACACACACACAAGAAAAGTAAGTAGTATAACACACATTATCCATTCAAAAGGCCATCAGTGAAAATTTATGTTTATAAATCTAAAAGCATGCTACCATTTTTAGGTTAATTCTTTAAAGGTTGCAATATTTAACTTTTTTTTTTTTTTTTAAAGCTTCAACAGAAAAGTTCTTTTGACATCAGTGTAACACTTAAGTTAAAATAGAGGATGTAATATACAAGTTATTCTCATATTAACCTTTATTAAGGGCTGTTTATCTTTTGTAACTGTTGCTTGTGTAAATGACCTTACGTCCATTTTAAAGGCATAGTTCATCCAAAAATGAAAATTATCGTACACAGTAAACAAAATCATTGTCAAAACAATCCATAGCTGCTTTTTCCACTGTCTGGTTAAAATGTTCCGTTTGCCTAACCATTCCATGCTGATCTGGGCCAGTCAGAGTAGTTCCAGTTTCTACTGTGGTGCTGATAATGAAACTCTTTGGAATGTTGGTAACGTAAACAGCTACATGCATAATCAGATATTTCTGTTTTTGGGACTCTCTTTTTCTAATATTTAGTTTGTTGAATAACAAAAAAATAAAGTTAGCACTCTTCCGCCTGGCTGACTATGGAGAAACTGGCAGCCAGGCGACAGAGTGATGATGTCATTCATGTGTGAATGTGCTCTACCACTTTAGCACGGTTCAGCACAGTTGTCTATCTATTCCTAGAATTCTGGCCTGAGAATGGTTTGTATTCGTGCCGCGTCATTCCAGGCTCACATGGAAACACAACCGGAACTTTACCTGACTGTTCTTAGAAATGTTTGGCAAAAAAGTGGAAAAGCAGCTGTGACTTCAGTGGTTCAACTGTAATCAAACAATGCCCCACAATAATTTGGTATGGCAAAAAAAATTTTTTAACTACTATGTTTACCAATTCTGGGTTCACAAAAGGTTTAGTAGTATGGTTGTAACAATTCACTTGACTCACGATGTGATACGATTCATGATACTAATCTCACGTTTTAGTCACGATTTTTTTAACAAAATTATTTGAAACAATTTTAAGGTGAAGAGCCCTTTAATTTTTTCTTAAATGCTGCACATATTTTTCAAAATAATAATGAAGACCCATTAATATAAAACAACTAAAGCTTTGACTGTGCTGGGATAATATAAAAAAAAGAAATATCAGCATATCTATGTTCTCTGGCATAAGCTAAGGTCTTTGTACATTTACAATGTTCGCTGCTGATGAAAAAACTCCACTGGGACTGAGATATCTGGTGTGGAGAGGAAAGCCTTTCCTAAACCAGAGAGCAGGGTGTACAGAGGCGTTAGACAGGCGTTAAACATGACTATGAAAGTGAATAATTAATATTTGTTTGAATTGTAGTTCTGCAGAGTGACTAAAAAGTTATCAGCATGATGGTAAAAAACTGTACATTTCTAGTCAAACCATTTTTCTGCAATCTCATACCTAATACAGAAATAAGGGCAGTATTAATAGGTTAAAATGTGGGAGAGTGTTGATATTATGTGATCGTATTGTATTGCAATATGGAACAATTAAATGTTGATGTTAAATTACAAGTAATTTACAAATACTTAAAAATGAAATGATTTAATCACAATAACTTGCTATGGTTACAACTGAATTGATTACAAAATAACTGTACAAAATGATAACATATTAAATAAAACATATGATATGAATTTTACACATCTTAAATGTAAAATTAAAGTTACCAGATGTAGAAGGAGAGACACAGGGAGGGAGAGACAAAGAGAGTAAGTAGGCCTCTAAGAGGCAGAGAAGATAGACTCCAGAGGAGGAGAGGAGCAGAGCAGGAGAGCACAGACCAGGAAATGACAGGGAAAGAGCCAGGGCAGAGTTTTACACATATTTTGTATCTTTCTTGACCATGTGACTAAAGCCCAAATGCTGAGACATTCAAACTGACCAATCAACATGTGAACACATCATAAAACCCCCCAAAGTCCACACACCAGGCCCTGATCTTATCAGTATGTGTTTTTGGAGTCAGTATGGACCTTCTTTGATAAAAGACTTGTTTTTCCATATAAACATGCATATGATATTTAGATTCTTACACATCTAACAATGTCACCTCCCTTCAGCACGTCTGCCTTTCAAAAGGCTCAACCCTGAACCCAAGGAATGCAATGAGCCCAAAAGAACCAAAGGTCCCGTTGCTCCCAAGTGTTCTGAACCCAGTGATCAGGAAAATGATCAGGACAGCTCCTCCATCTCGCACCATGGCCCGGCTCTGGTGAACGGCCGTGGTCCTCTTGATTGCTTCATGAGTCGGCGGAAGCGTTCCCCGCTCCGCTCAGCCCCTGAAGCCACTATCGACCTAACTGAAGACTCAAACGATTCTGCCAAACAGCAGCCGGCACCTCCTATCGCTGCCACCTGCCCTCTTAGTGAAGAGAAAACAAAGACCTCTGAAGGTACTACAGAACCGACTATACCACTGACAGAGGAGGAGACTGAAAAGGATGAAGCTGAAGATGTAGATGCCCTCCCGCTTCTGGACATCACTCAGGACTCTGACACTGAGGAGGAGGAGGAGGAGGAGGAGGAGGAAGAGGAGCAGCAGCAGGAGGCTGAAGTCAGTCATGGGAATGAGTCTGTGCTGTCCACAGGGTCCACCAGCTCCGCCTCTGTGATCGCGAGCTCACCAGAGCCCAGCAAAAGTGCTCCCACCACCCCTGCTTCTGTGAGTAGATAGGAGTTATTGCTCATATCATATAACGCTTCTGTTATCGTGCAATCTATTGATTAGTGCAATCTTTTTTTGTTGTTGTTGCAGACATCACGGATAAATGCAGCTAATAAAGTGAAGAGACGATCCCTTAAGGTAAAAAAAACAAAACAATGTTTCTCAAACAACACAAATAGAAAGAAAATATATATATTGAATGTCATATTGCTAAATATTAGACATTTCCATTACAATTATACTTTTAATTATGTAATAATGCAGTATTTATCATATTTTATCTTAGGTTTGCTTAATGTAAAATGTAAATGTAGGTCATTTTTGCTGGTAAATGTGCATTTCATGTCGAATACGAAACTGAAAGCATGCCAATAATAACGGGAGCTGTTTATCTGTTGTTAAAATTAAACAAACTGCTGTCTCAGTTATTTCTTTCTATTGACCTTATTTTTCAATACGGAAGTGTTCTCGTTTGTTTTAGAACTTTCGATTAAGCTCCCTACGGGAAAAAATACTAGGAATAATAAATCTGTCAAAAACGGTCATACTTCTTGCTCTACAAACAAGCATTTGCATAATTATACAAACAAAGCATAATCATATAATAGAAAAATGTCAGTTCGCAACATCAAGCAGCATAACCAGCTGTTTTTAACTTCTAAAATTTGATGGAAGTGAATGAGAGTGGAAGTCTTGAGCCAAAAAGATTTAAGTGGCTGCGCTCGCTCGTACGGTAAGAATAAGGTGCAGGGCTCGAAATTAACTTTTTTGCTTGGTAGCACTGGTGCTCCTAACTTTAAAAAGTTAGGCGCATCAGCCAAAATTTAGTCGCACCTACCAATTATGAGCACCGTTACTACAAGTTTTATACAAACATATTTATTGTATTTGAAATCAACACTAATCAAACTAACAAGCAAAAAAAAAAATAAATAAATAAAAATAATATATATATATGCAAGCGTGAGGAAAATATGTCTCAACGAAATCCTGTTATCACAAGAAAATACATTTTATAACATAACTGAGTGACCAAAGCACGGAGCGCTCACCGGCCCTGCACGCACTGCTTGAATTAATCTGTTAACGGTATAACTGTGCTGTTCTCACAAGTGCTGTCTGATATTGCACTGATGCTTTTGACATATACTGTACCTTATTATATGCATACATGTTAATAGCAATATCTGTCTTTTTAGGAGTCGCGATGTAAGTTTACTCAGTGCAAGCCCGTTTGCGATAGTGTACGTGATGTAATTTGACATATATCTGCCACTAGCACGGCGGACAGCATCTGGCGATTATATGAAAGATTAAACAGAAGCTCTCGTGCTAGATGTGGCAAGCAGTTACCTGAAAATTCCATCCCACTGACTTTTCATGGCGGACTTGAAGCCACTGGAAGTCTTCTACTCTTGGAAAAGTGTAGATGGTGGACTAACATTCAGCACATGATCGCTAGTAAGATGTCATTATTTGTAACTTTAGATGCCATGGTTTCTAAAACAAAATCTGTCAGTGTTAACCATTCTAATCTTCAGTGCTTTAGTTTTTCGCGGTAGTAGCTCTCTGTCATTCGAAGCCAGAATGCACTGAGTGATTGACAGCTGATATTAACCAATCATTCGCATTCAGTGCTAGAGCAGTGGTGGGCCAATAAGAAGAGCGTGAAGGCGGAGCAAGCATTATGGACTTGGATTTGTTTACTGCAGCAAGCTGACATGACAACTGTTTTAAACCATTCCTGAGCTCTGCGTTTCGCATTTTAAGTGCAGACAAAGAGCTTAGAGGTGCATTCTGCGTAAATGTATCCCGAATCCGCGCATGTGGTGAACATTTTGCAGAAAAAACTGGTCGCACACAACAGTTTTGAGCACTCGCAGAAATGCTCCCATATATATTTTGAGGTCGCATAGATGAAATTTCGGGCGCATATGCGACCAAAATGGTCGCAATTTCGAGCCCTGAGGTGAATAACGTAAAGCCAGTAATGCATAATTCTAGCCAGCGGCTCTGTATTAGAAAGTTTTACCTCTAATTTATATATGGCGATGATGTCTGGCTGTCATCGTTTAAAAGTAAACTCCAACTTTTTCCTTATGTTTTACTGCTCATCGTCATTAATTCAAATAACAGCACATGACAGCTGAGCGGGACTCTCAAAAATAAACCGTAGAACTCTGACTAATGCAATAAGTTTACTCATACGTGACTTGTTTTAACTGTTTTGTTCCATTTAGAAACTGCCCTGTGAAAGCGAACTGCACCAAGAACAAAGAGCAACATTGTATCAATTTTAATCCCTGTTTCAGAACAAAACAATCAATCTACTGGTGTGAAAGCACCCTTAAGGCTGGTTTATACTTCTGCTTCAAGTGATCGGCGTAACCCACGGCGCATGCCTTGCGTGTTGCCATGCATTTATGCTTCTACACGCTGTTTGTGTTGCTCTGCAATAACACTTCCGAAATGCTAGATGGCAGTGAGGTTTTTATGTTCCTCTGTGTCGTGTTTCTTCGCTGGTGTTTTGTTTTTGTTTCGTGGGAACTGGGGGACATGCAACAACTTAAATCATAAGGTAAACACAAAACACCAGTTTCCATCTATAGCTCGCGCGGCACTCGGTCCTGCCCACACTTGTCAGCGCTACCAAGCCGACCAATCACAAAGCTTGCGATAAGCGTCGTTGCTACATGATGTAGTTACATTTTTTGAGAGGTGCGCGTCAGCCATAGAGAGAGCTATGCATCCACGCGTAGGCTGCGCTGGAGCCTATCTAGTTTTTTTTTGTTGAACACCTGTGAACATTGACTTCCATAGCAGAAACAGCAAATACTATGGAAGTCATTTTTTAAGGTTATTTATTTTGTTCAACAGAAAAAAGAAACTCAAACTGGTTTGTGAAGGCTGAGTAAATGTAACTATTTCTTTAGATGTGGTTATAATTTGTTGAAAACAGTAATGCCAGAAGATTGACCTACATTGAATGAGTGAGAAATGTTTGCATAGTCTATCTACAATGACTGTGAAGCTTTGAGTTTAATCACAAAACCAGTAAAGTTGCTGTGAATGGCTGAAGTTTGGCTTTTAGAGGTTAATACATTTTTTCCCCGTCCCTCAAATTTGATCTAATTGTTAAAGAGTTAAAGGTGAATTGATTGTTGTCGCTGTGGAATTTTGTGCTTCAGCTGAATAGCCCTTTGTCTTTTTGTCCCTCAGAGTGTTCAAGAGCAGGAGGAGAAGCAGCGACAGAGGGATGAGAAAGAACGGCTGAAACAGGAGGCCAAAGCTGCCAAGGAGAAGAAGAAAGAGGAGGCCCGCAAGATGAAGGAGGAGAAGGAGAGGGAGAAAAAAGAGAAAAAGGAGAAAGATGAAAAGGAGCGGCGGGAAAAAAAGGAGAGGGACGAAAAAGAAAAAGCAGATAAATTAAAAGCTAAAGAAGAGCAACGGCAGATGAAAATTGAGTAAGTGGCCCAGTGTTTCACCACAATGGAAGCTGTGATGGGGTTTACTCTAATTTGAGAATTTAACTCTGTTTTAAACTTTATTTAGGGCCAAACTAGAAGAGAAAAGGAAGAAAGAAGAGGAAAAACGGTTAAAGGAAGAGAAAGATGTGAGTGTTTCATTGCTGAGAGTCTTGGATGTGACTTTGGCAAGCTGTGCAGGTCCTCATAGCATTTTTGCATCTGTTTTAGCGAATTAAAGCTGAGAAGGCTGAGATTACACGGTTTCTGCAAAAGCCCAAGACCCAGTTGGCACCAAAGGTAAGAGTCACATAAGCATTTACACCCCCATAAGCACATAAACTGTAAATAAAATACAATCAAAAACAATTTTAACAACCTCCGGAAATGTTAAGGACCATGCTCAGATAGAGTAGTCACCGATCACTATTGGCCGATAATCGCTTGGTGGGGGGGGGTTGATTTGCAATATCTACAAATGCAGATCAGATGATCAGAAACTCGAGACACATTTTCTTTACATGGTGCAAGAATAGAGTGTGTGAATTGTGTGTGCCTATGCAACAGAGGGTTATGCAAACCCTCTACTTATGCAACTGAATATGTGGATATTAGTGGAAAAGATGATTTCTTTACCTGTCCCATTTGAAGGGCTCCACAACAGCTGCCATAGCCTCATATCGTCCATAAGTAGGCGTACTCAACAGGCGGTTGAGTCACCATGAAGATAGGGTATTTTTAAATAATATTTTTTTACTTGCGCCACGCCTTTAGGGCCATTCACACATCTCATCCAAAACTGTGTTGAAAACATGATGAGCGCCGATTTTTTTCAGCAAGTTCAAATCCCTCACGAACTTCTGCTCTTTCCGCATTTGTAGTTAGGGCCGAGTGGTATATCGGGTTCTGGGGATGTATGGATAGGATTCTCCAACGCTGTACGGTATTATCTAGTATCTTTCATGTCGATATGGTTTAAGGCCACATGTGTGCATTCTGTGCAAAATAAACCACTCCAAGGTAGCACGCAAGCTCCACTTGCACAAATAAGCGCATGCGCAAATGAATGATTCACATTCATGAGTCATACAATATTTGTTCAAAATGAACGAATTGTTCAAGAACGACCCATCACTACACGCGACATGGGGGAACATGCAGTGCCAGTGTTGTATAGAAATCTGACTCCCTCTTGCATACACGCACATCACACAGTGATATCGATCATTTCTGCCGCAATTGACAGCAAGAACGAACGTAGACACCTTGTCAAATTGACAAGCAGCACCTGAATGTGTTCAAAAGAATTAAAAATACCTAAATGGGACAAATTTATACCGCATTTCGAAAGTGAAACCCAGTGGCGCCCCCAGAAAATTTTCATAGGGGTGGCCAGAAGAGGCCACACCAAATCTTGGGGTGGCACACAAAAAAAAATTTATTCAGTGTAATGTTATATTTTTGTTTCCGGTAAATTAAATAATGTGATTTTAATTAATTTGTCTTACAATATCGCAATTTATTTCTTGAAATAATTCAGCAAGTTCATGTGCAAAACAAATAAAAATCTATATTTAGTTTAAAAACACTTCTCATATATAGAAATAACTTTTCAGTTATTTTTCACATACATTTATTGTACAGCATACAGTATATGCCATGTCTAAAATTAATTGAGAATAATGGGTTAAATAATAAAACAAACAAGTGAACAAACTGAACAAAAGGCATTACTATATACACACACACACAATTTACTTATATTTATTCTAAATAAATACAATTAATGTTAATATTATTACACAATTATTATTCTAAATAAATAACAGACATCAATCCTAAATGTTACTGCAATGTAACAGAGTGATCACTTAGGGAACCTTTTGCATGAATATTAGTTATGACAATTCTATAGAATACAAAAATTTGTGTTTTATAGAATTATCTGTGGTCTTAGACCCGAATTATGGCCGAGAAATAATGTTATGATTTCTTACCTCCCTGACTCTTTATCCCTCCTTTCTGCTTTAGAGATATGCTTGGTGAAAGTATCATCATCATATTATATAAACTTTAGTTTTGTCGACTTTCAAAACTAAACACCTGACACCTCTTCACAAAAGGCTTACTCCGGTTTCACGGCGCATTAGCGGCGCGTTTTTTTATCAGCGTGCGTGTAAACAACCGGGATTCACACACGAGCGCGTGAGCCACACAGAATGGTTTTCTGCGCATACGCGTCAGTTTGCTTTCACCAGCGTTGTTTTGGTTGCACATAGAGAACGCGTGCAAAAGATGTGAACGGCCCTTAATGTCTTTATCCTGGGATTGCCACTCTAAGTTAACACACATGCATACAGTAAATGGTATCCCAATGCTTTTACTAGGGGATGTTTTTGTTGCACCATCTCCGCGTGCCGCCCCCAACAAGATACTTGCGCCGCCGCCCTGGCATTTGGCATATTGCCCAAATCCGCCACTGGGGAAGAGAGGGACAGTGTATCAGCTACGTTAGTGGCACCAACAATAATTTAGTTGCTGCATGTTATTTATTTATCTATAGAAACATTGGGAATTTACATAAGTACATTTAAGTTACTAATATCAACAGCAAAATCATATTGGGGTGGCCACAGGGGTGGCCAGAGTTTACCCAGGGGTGGCCGTGGCCACCCCTTGGGGGCGCCCCTGGTGAAACCACCTCATATTTACTGATTATAAGTTCAGTATTTATTACATTCTCTTCTTTACATTTACATTAAAACACATTTAGCTCTTATATGCTTAACCAGCATTTAATCACAGTACTCTGAAACAATTTCGTTACTTCTCATATCTACAGTCTATTCGTTTTCATCTCCTTTAATATTTAGTAAAAATAGTTTAGTCAAAAACTAAAAAACTGTGTTTTTTTACATGGAGTGAAAGACTTGTCTTTAGACGTCTTCGATATGTGCACTTTTTAATAACTGTGCAAAAACATACAGCTGAATTGTTGTTTGTAAATCACAAAACTGCTATACAGGATTACTTATAAAAACACTGTAATTGTGACATAAAATACTGTGTTTCATATTTACATTCAATGTGGTTCTTTTCTATCCTACAATACGTTTTGTAGTGTTACTATTTAAGTGTTAATTTTTTGCTCTGGCAATGTAGCTGTTTTCTATGGTTCTGTTTACTTTGTTATTTGCACAACAGCACAGTAGAGCTGTGTATAGTGTAAGCAGGCAAAAAAAACCTGTACTGTATTTATCAATGATTTTTTTATAATTTGAAATGTTGTGCAACTTGTAGTTTTAAGCAGGAGAAAAACCCGTACTATGTTTTTATCAAAGATTTTGTGCAGCTGTTTTTTTGTGCAGCTGTTTATTTGTAAACAAATATATTTTGCTCAAAAATGTTTAAAGTTTTAATAAAGGCTTTGACTCTAAAGTAACCATTTATGGAAAAATACCGGATATATATCGTATGCTATCGTTCGTCCTAAAAATACAGAGATATGATATTTTGCCCATATCGCCCAGCCCTAGTGCACGTGGGCCAGAGCCATAGAGGGCTATGGTGTAGACTACACTCGTATAGCATTTTAATGATGCAGTATCGCGTCTTTACAATTTATATTGTGTAAATGGCTGATGTTCCTCTTAGCAGCATAAAAACCTAAACATATTCAAATTGTAATGCAACGCTCAAATTACAATAAATTGAGGTGTCGTCACGTCTTTTGGTTTTAAAATTAGAAATGACAATGTGTTTTAAAAGCATTACCCCCAACATTCTGCCTCTTTTCTTAGTGGATGGCCAAATTAAAGATTATCATGGGCCAACTTTGGCCTGTAGGCTCTAGTTTGAGCATATCTGCCCTACACTGTTCTTATTAGCTAACCAAGTACAGGCTGCTATGTTTTAGGTTGGAATGTTGCTTATCAATAAATGCAGTTGTCATATGATATTTGTAATATACATTTATAAAAACATGAATAATAAAAAGCTTCAATTAAACCCTGTAATCAGTGATCAAATTGATTAAGATGCATCTTTAAAAGGTAGTTCACTCAAATCTAAAAATTGTCCTTCACTCAACTTTGACTTGTTTTAAACCAGTTTTTTTGTTCTGTTAAAAATGTTAGAAATAATCAATCATCAACATTCATAGTATTTGTTCTTTTTGGCCATTTTGTCAAGTAATGTGTTAATGTAGGCATTTTTGTATGTTCTTGTGTTTCAGACTCTGGCTTCTGCCTGCGGGAAGTTTGCTCCGTTTGAGATCAAAGCACACATGTCTCTGGCACCGCTAACTCGAGTACAATGTGAAGACTCTGTGCTAGAGGACCTGGACCGCTATCTTGCCCAACCCGACAGTACTCTGAATGGACTGAAGGACTGGACAGGGCACAAACCTCGCAGTTCAGGTCCCACCAGACCCAGGCATAGTGCACAAGGGTAAAGCCACACTGAGCCTGTTGCTTGGATTTGTTTGTATTCAATATATACTCGTGCAGAACACTGTCAGCTGCATTTGTTAGAGGGATGTCAAAAGACATTTTATTTGGTGTATGTTCTGTGTTATTAGAGACTGTGTGGTCATAACTGAGAGCCAGAAGGCAGATGATGGACCAGACCGCAGTCGTTACGGCCGCATGAAGCTCCTGCATTTCCATGACAACTATCGGCCAGCTTATTGGGGAACCTGGAGCAAAAAAAGCACCCACATCTCGCCACGCTGCCCGTTGAGGCTGGACAAGGTAAAAAAACATGGCAATTTTTTTGCATTTTTTAAATTGCCATGCATAACTTTTTTAGCAAAATTTTTGGATCCCATCTTAGTTGGCCTGTACAATAACAGCAAACTCCCTTTAATGGCAAAACAAATTACTTAAAATTAAAACATTCTGTGTTTGTAGTAAGGAACCTATGAATATGCCTATTTTCCAGAAAACAATAAATGATGCTCTTGTAAATCATAAATATTACACAAGTTAACATAAATCATAATTTCAGTTTTTGTTTTACCACTAGTTTATACACTCGCCGGCCACTTTCTTAGTTACATCTTACTAATACCTGGTTGGACCCCCTTTTTGCCTTCATAACTGCCATAATGCTTCGTGGCCTAGATTCAACAAGCTGGAAATATTCCTTTGAGATTTTGATCCATATTGACATGATAGCATCACGCAGTTGCTGCAGATTTGTCAGCTGCACATCCATGATGCGAATTTCTCGTTCCACCACATCCCAAAGGTGCTTTACTGGATTGAGATCTGGTGACTGGAGGTCAGTGTTGTGTTGTGCGAGTACAGTATTGTCATGTTTAAGAAACCACTGTGAGATGATTCACGCTTTGACATGGCGTGTGATCCTGCTGAAAATAGCCATTAGAAGATGGGCAGATTGTGGGCTTAAAGGCATGAGCATGGTCTGCAACAAAACTGAAGTAGGCAGTGGCGTTGACACCATGCTAAATTGGTATTAATGGGCCCAAAGTGTGCCAAGAAAATATCTCCCACACATTACACCACCCCCGTTGATGCTAGGCAGGATGGATCTATGCATTCATGTTGTTGATGCCAAATTCTGACCCTACCACCCAAATGGCACAGCAGAAATTGAGACTCATCAGACCAGGCAACGGTTTTCCAACCTTCTATCGTCCAATTTTGGTGAGCCTATGTTAATTAATTGTGGCCTCAGTTTCTGGTTCTTAGCTGAAAGGAGTGGCACCCGGTGTGATCTTCTGCTGTTGTAGCCCATCTGTTTCAAGGTTGGACGTGTTGTTTGTTCACAGATGCTCTTTTTACCTTGGTTGTAATGAGGGGTTATTTGAGTTGCTGTTGCCTTTATCAGCTGGAACCAGTCTGGCCATTCTCCTCTGACCTCTGGCATCAACAAGCCATTTGCACCCGCAGACCTGCCGCTCACTGGATATTTTCACTTTTTCTGACCATTCTCTGTAAACCCTAAAGGTGGTTGTGCATGAAACTTCCAGTAGGTCAGCAGTCTCTGAAATGCCCAGATCAGCCCGTCTGGCGCCATCAATCATGTCACGTTCAAAGTCACTCAATTCGCCTTTCTTCCTCATTCTTATGTTCGGTTTGAACTGCAGCAGATCATCTTGACCCTGTCTACATGCTTAAATACACTGAGTTGCTGTCATGTGATTGGCTAATTAGAAATTTGCATTAACAAGCAGTTGGAGAGGAGCAGTTGGACAGGTGTACCTAATAAAGTGTCCAGTGAGTGTATGTCAATTTCACCCAACACAAAATTGTCTTAGTAGCTCAACTTTTGTGGTGACATTTGTATCTTGTTTACCAAAGCTTATTTTGTTTTTAATGTGCTTTCCTAGGAACCTAAATTGACAAATTCTAGGTGATTTCTGTGTCTTTATCAGGATCTGCTGGATTATGAGGTGGACAGTGATGAAGAGTGGGAGGAGGAGGAGCCAGGAGAGTCTCTGTCACACAGTGAGGGGGTGAGCGATCTGACATCACTCTACTGCTACAAACTAGCTGTGCTTTACATATTTAAACATGGAGATGTTAATCTGGCTTTTTGCTCCAGGATGACGATGACGAAGCAGGAGAGGACGACGATGATGATGATGGGTTTTTTGTGCCCCATGGTTATCTCTCAGAAGGGGAAGGAGCACTTGAAGATGAGGTACTTAAAAGTTAATTATAATCAGCCATTTTTGATTGCCCCATTTGGTCATGTCTCAATGCTAATGGTCTGCTCTTGCAGGAGGGTGGAGACCCAGAGAAGCAGAAGGTGCGTCAGAGGATGAAGGCTCGTGAATGGGAGAATGAGCTGATGTCTAAAGGGAAGGTGAAGGTTTTGGAGGCTGTGGTACGCGGCTGCTTTTGGGAAGGAGAAAAGCCCTTGCCTGACTTCCTGCAACCATACGCTGTCTGCATGCTGGAGCCTTTATCTAAAGATGAGGCCTCCACCCCTGAACAAGACGCCTCACGCCAGCAGAGGAACGAGAAACGTGAGTACATGCTTGACTTGGGTATCAGATATTATACAGTAAAACCTGAAGACTACTTAACTGAACTCTGTTTTGCTGTCTTAATTTGCTGGACAATTTCTTATTCATTGCTCGACAGTTTTGTTTATCTGAACCTTAAACAATATTCAAGTGTGATGCAAGAACAAAGCTACGATGACATTTTCACCTTCATTAGTTTACAAAGCAAGACATTCACACCATTAGCTGTGCAGGAAAGCATTGAAAATTACCAGTGAAAATTGACACCTAAAAAATGAATAATGACAATTGAAAAGACTTGTGTTAAATTATTCATTTATTGTGTTTTTCGTTTCCCTCCAGTGCTTACAATGCTGCTGCCATTGCTGCATGGGAATGTGAATAGCAATAAGGTGATAATCACCGAGTTCCTCGAGTTTTGTCGCCAACAAACCTCCTCGCCCACAGAAAGCCTTCTCAATACGACAGAGAGCATTCCACCCAGGTAAATCAGTTCACAGCCATACTGATCCTCAGTGGTTAAGTCATCATGCAAAACAGATTCTATAGAGTTATGTAGTGATGTCATTTCATAGGGCATGCAGACTGTAACATCATCCTTGTTCAGGGATGGGCAAACTTGATCCTCGAGGGCCGGTGTCCCTGCAGAGATTTGTTCCAACACTAGTCAAACACACCTGAACAAACTAATCATAGATTTCTAGTGATATTGAAGTGATCTCTAAGCAGGTGTGTGTGATTAGAGCTGGAGCTAAACTGTGCAGGACACCAGCCCTCCAGGACTGAGTTTGCCCACCCCTGTCCTAGTTCCTTCAACAAAGTCAGAATAAGGTCAATAAAATTTGATTTCATTATGCACACATTTTCTTTTATATCATAAATATAGTCCCCTGAAATAAAAGTAAAAGTTATAGTGTTTTCACACCTGCCTTGAAGAGGTGGTCTCGGTACGCTTTCAAACGAACCCTGGAACGGTTCGATTGTGGTTGAGAATATGATCCAAACTAAAATAGACCCAATCAAAAAAACTACTGCGCCTTTTTGGACTAATCCAGCTGCCGTAGTCCGATACACAGCCCCATCTTTAGGTGGTGTGGAGGAAAAAATATTTGTTGACAGCACTTTACCAACAATATTAAATTGAGAAAGACAGAGAGAGGGAAAAACATTTCCTGATGGATTGTTGGAAATATTTCTGGAAGATGGCCATATCACAGTTATCTAAATTAATTTACATTTCCTTCTGAAGTGACTTGCGATGTGCCTTCACCATTAGTGATGCATTAAAACTTTTATTTTTTAGCCGCAGTCGCGCTTCAGGGCGTACTCACACTATGCCATCCGTACCGTGCCCAGGCCCGTTTCCCGGATCGTTTGTGAAGTGTGGGTGCGCTGAATCGGGCTCAAGCACGGTTCACTTGGCCGGCCCTGGCCCGGTTGGTGGAGGTGTGCCTAAGCACGGTTTACTTGAAACTGAAAGCGAGACGTGACTTTTAAGGGACTGTTTCATTAAGATTTATTAATCATTCTTACTGTTCAGTGAACGCAAACTCCTCACAGCACGACAGCTGCGCACCTTCAGCAGACCTCCTCATTCCTACAGCACGAGGGCTTTATGACTGTTTATAAGCGCCATAAGTGGCGGATCTGTTTGGCGAAATATCTGACTGCATGTCACTGCATCCCTAAGGACTGTTTGGCGAAATATTTGACTGCATATCACTGCATATCAAACGACTGAAACGATATAACCAGAGAAATCTCCACTGTGCTGAGCGAGAGTGCTTCTCTACTGAACAGCGCAGCAGCGATGACGTAAGCGTGCCGAGGCCCGATTGTGGTGTGAGTGCGGGCCGTCGAGGGAGAAGTGAGGGGGGACAAGCGTGCTTTTCGTTCTTTTCAACTGGTTTGGACCAAAGCAATCAGTGTGGTGTGAAAAGGACCCAAAAATGGCAGAGATATGCTACAATGTATCTTTTGTTGCCCTTGATCCGGATCAAATGAGCCCAACTACAGATGTGACAGCACCCTTAGGCTTAAGGCTGTTTTATACTTCTGTGTTGAGTGATCGATGTATCCCATGCCGCAAGCCTTGCATGTAGCCATGCATTATTTCTTCTATGTTTTGTTTGTGTTGTGCTAACAATAACTCTTCTGAGACGTTAGCTGGTAGTGGGGTTTCTATGTTCCGCCTGTTAATTTTTTAGTGGGTGTCTTGTTTACAATGTAGACGCTTGCAATACTAATTTACTGTACAAGTAGCTCAAACTCAACGTGCAACAACTTTAATTATAAAGTAAACACTAAACAGAGGTATCCATCTGATGCTCCTCTGTGTGACTGCACACTTGTTTAACACTCGTGCCACCGGCCTCACTCTGCTCTTGTCTCCGCCCACACCTACACTCATCGCCACTACCAAGCTAACCAATCACATCTTGTGCTGTGTAGCTGCAACATGTAGTTACGTTTTAGAAGTGCGCATCAGACTGTGGCGAAGGGTATGCGTCTGCACACAGGCAACATCAGATTATCTGTACACTCTTGACGCAGAAGAAAAAACTTGCTTTTAAAGCAGGGTATCCACGGGGTCTTAATGTCTTAAATTTCAAAAACAAAATTTAAGTTTTTAAAAAGTCTTAAATTCTCTGAAATATTGTGTTTTAGGTCTTAAATAATTTTTAACAAATCTTAGTTTTACTATATCCAAGTAAATCTACCCAATCGGCTAAAACAAGGGTTGGGTGATGTCGACCAATTTGGCATAGTATGATGTCTAGTGTGAAATATCGTGATGGTTGATGGCATCGTCATAGGCGGAGGTGAATTAATTATTTATGAATAATTAATTCATAACAAAATAATGATTTGTAGCCTACCGTTTCAACTACCCATAAACAAATCAAAAATAAATTAAGATAAGTTACACACAAATTAGCACTTGTCTATCACTTTTTCCGCAGGACTCTGGCATGAATAGGCAGAGTGACCAGTGTCATTATAATGGCGTCGACAAACTTGGTAAAAAAGGTGCAAAACCAACAGCAACCAACCAACAGTATCTGAGGTTTTCACTAAAATTACTTGGTACAAGTGTGAAAGACTGAAGCAGTGTGCTGACGCTGTGACACGTTACCTGATAGATTCAAAAGACCGAAGAGTTGTTACATAGAGACTAGATTAACTAAATATCATGTTTAACAACTATAGTGAGATGTGATCCTGCGGTACATCCTTGATAAACTGTCCGACGTGCACTGCTCTCTGGGGCTCAGACAAGCGCATGACTGTGTGTGGCTGTGTCTGTTTGTGTGTGTGGTCATGCGATGTGCGTTTTCAGCGGACGGAGGGCTGTTCAGAAATGCTAGGTAAAACAATGTGGATGTGGATCATTTTCGTTCGAAATTGCCATTTTAAAACCAAGACGTTTTTGTGTAAACGGGTCCTAAGTGTGTGTTTTCGTGAGCGGGTTTGCGACGGGAACGGAGCAGAGAATGTGATGCCGGCTCAGCATGGTGTTGTCTATCGACGATCGGGAATAGACGATGGCATCGTCTATCTCCCTAACCCTAGCTGAAACCCAATCACCAATGAACTCATTTTTTTTTTATATATATATTTATGTTTTTTTTGTAAAGAAATACAATTAAGAACAGCTGTTAGACATTTTTCAAATTCTTACATTCTAAAATTAGCAAATTCTCCTAATTAAATTACCTAATTAAGGAAAGATAACGAAAGTAACAAATCCCTTCAATTAATACAAAAACTATTTAAAGAAATGACCAGACCATTATAAAATGTCCTTAGTGTTTAGCCCTGTATAAGTCTTAAATTTCATTCATAATGGTCTTAAAATCTTACATTTTTCGTGTAAAATCATTGAGGTTATTTTCAGACTAATATGAAGTTGTTTAACCTTCTTGAAGTATTTGGGTCTGTTTCGAGCAGGGAGAGATGAATTTCTAAAATCAGCATGCTTTTAGTAAGGGAATTTTTGGAGATGATTTTTCTGCAAATACAAAATAAAAAAAAAAGAAAACAATAACTAACTAATTGCTAATTTACACATGTAGTTATTGTAACAGGAAAGTTATACATCTCAAATTGGAGGTTTATTTATGTAAAGTCAATTTTAGTTTAAAAGCATTTCAGAGTTTTTGGTTAGGAAATAATACAGGCTTCAAAAATGTACACTAAATTTATAACTATTATTGTACAACATTACACAAAACACATTGCTAAGAATATTGGCTTTTTGTTTACGAATAGGATCCATGTCAGGCGTATCATCAAGGAGAACGCCGTGTATGAAAAGCGCTCCACATTTAAACGCTGCTGCTGGTACGTGCATGCAGATGTTCTGGCCCGTTACTCTCAGGAGGCTTTACCCGTTCCCTGCCAGTGGAGCTACCTCACCTCTGGGGCAAATGTCACCCGCGATGAGCATAGCGGCTCACAGGGCAATTCGCCCACCACAAACTCTTCTACCACACCCTCCAACAAGAGGAAAAGCGCCAGCAGCCACTCCATCACCAAGTATATGAAGAAATGTGGTGAATCTGAACAGGTGAAAACCTCTACTTTTTTTTTTTATATCCTGGTCTATCTCTTTACATCTAGTCTAACTCTGCTGTTTATTACCTGTATTTAGACTGAGGCCATGGAGACAGATGGCTTCCAGGCAGATACAGAGGATGATGAAGACGATGATTGTATCATCATTGGAGAGCAATCTGGTTAGTATGGTTTGTTGCTAGGAAATTCAACAACTATTAAATGATTGATAAATATCAATACACTTTATCGATGATTGATTTTTAGCATGGATTTCATTCACATAAGATGAAGAGCATACGGCTTTAGCATGATACATGCAAGGAACTATACAAGGAATAATGAAGCATTTCTCCATTTAGTCCAGGGGTCACCAAACTTGTTCCTGGAGGGCCGGTGTCCTGTAGATTTTAGCTCCAACCCTATTCAAACACACCTGAATGAGCTAATTAAGGTCTTACTCGGTAAAATCCATTTACCATTCGGGGTTGTCCATTGTGAACAGCATAATTAGATTATCTGAAGTGGATTTGCAAATTGTTTAACTTAAACGTATATACTGGGCTGACTACTAAGTGGCGTAAGCCTTCAACACTTCATAGACATTCATGAATATGCCCTGATTTAATTCTCCAGGTTTTCCCTTAATATGTCCATTGCAGATTTGGGAGCAGATTTACAGCCAAACAACTATTTACTCATGGACACGTGTAGATCTAAGACAGCACTGTTGACATCCATATCAGTCATTGTATTTATTCATCAAGTGCTTCTAGTAAATGATCATGTGGCAAAAAAAGTCCATTCTGAGATTTTCAAAATGCATTACCATCTCTTATGAATTTATTTCTAGCTTGGTTTGTCTTTGTGGATGGTTTTTACCCGTACACCTAAATGCTCATATGGAAGAGCACTTGTGCATGTACGTTTGCTTTTATCACTAGATTCATGTAAACTGCTCGCTATAACCACTTGTAATTAGTTTAAATCAGTGCTTTAAATCTTAATTTTATTATTGATTGTTTTATGTAGTGAAATCTGCTGTTAAAAACTAAGCACTAGGGATGCTCAAAATAATCGATTAACCGTTAAAAGGTGCATTTGTAACCAATTAATGGTATTAGTTAAACTATTAAAATTATTATTTTATATATTTATAGTTTGGCAGCATAAGAGGGCGATTGAATGCGCTTCTTGCGTTGAGGGGCATTATTTGAATGGTTTACTAAAAGCCACAATTGTTTTGCACGCGGCTCATCCCAGAACAGCAGTTTGTGTTGTCAAGACAATTACAGAGAACTTTTAAAGACATGGGAGAGACAAGTGCTCGCCGTTTTAAGTTATCCAGAGCTGTATGAACTTACAAACCTTGAATGTCACAACTGTAACTACATAGACAGCAACACTCTTGCACAATCAATACCCAGCTAATTCAGTCGTTTCATAGTGACATAATGAAGACTGCGCTTTTTTTCCTTGTCAAAGGGAGCGTGGTGCGCCTCACGTTTTTGGAGTGAAAAAATCATGTTTGCTGTGATCAGACATATTTGTTAACTCGCGGGACGATAATTTATGACCACACGTGCCTATAGACATATAAGCCAAAGAAGCAAAATGGAAGAAAAATATTGCGGTTTGATACAGACGAGTTGATGCCAAACCAGCGCTGATGCTGATGGCCTCCTGGATCTGCGTCATAAACACAACAAATGGGCTTTAGCTTTCATTTTAAAGCTTTTAAAGCATGTATGCAAATTAATGCAATATCATATTTAAACAACAAAACTGTAAACAAAAAGTCAACAAATGCGCGCGTTGTCATTGTCTTTTCACCACGCAGCGCGCACACTTGAACCGGGAGTCAGAGGAAATATCAAGACATAATCTTTAAAATAATGATTTCTATGAAAAATGTAAAAAGGTTTTGTGATATGATAATAACAGCGGGGCATTAAATAAATGCATATTTTCTGTGGAGCGAGCAATTTGAGGAAGTCTGCGATTTTTTTTTTTTTTTTTTTTTTTTTTTTTTTTTTTTTTTTTGACAGAGGACAAAAACATAATTAGAAAAAAACAGCCTATGCCGGTTCTTAAAAAGAATCAGTCAGTGTTTTCGTTTTGTAATATAAATTAATTATTTAAGTGAAAATAATGTAGGACAGGCCTTTTTATTTTATTCGTTTTATTTTATTCAGTTTTTCTATGCCGTTGGAAACACAGCATGTGCTGAAGATGCTCTGTTGTTTTTTGTCAGACACAAATTAGACACGTCAATTTGTTTAAAAAAAATAATAATAATTTAATAGTAATCTGACCAGTTAACCGTTAATAACCGATTAACGACCGGCGGTTTTGGTTGGCAAAATTAACTGAAATGAGCATCCCTACTAAGCACTTAATTCATTCAGCAGAGATGGTAGAAGTACACACATCCTTTACTCAGGTAGAAGTACAGATACACCTGTTTAAAACAACTCTGCTAAAAGTTGAAGTACTGATTACACTTTTTGTACTCAAGTAAAGGTAAAGAAATACTGCCTGAAATCTGTATTTAAGTAAAAATTATTAATTACTACACCTGTTTTAGTTTCATGATGGTAACGACACTGTACATCATATATACATCTATACAAAATAACTTGCATTTCTATTTTTTATTTAATTTTTTTGCAAAAATGTTGTTACCTATTTTAGCCGTGAAGTAGCCAAGCAACATCACTCTATAATATTGTCCAACAACACTGCTCAAAGTTGCCCTGTGTGTCATCACCTGGACACAACTTAACTGAACAGCTGTTAAAAACAACAGCTGCCATACTTGTGCATATACTCCAAAACATAATTTTGTTGACCTGTATTTTTACAACTAATAAATGGCTTAAATTTAACTTAATTTTGTCCAAAACATATTAGCATATATTGATAAACAAAAAATCATATTTGTAATGTATTTGACTTCAAATCTTTTTTGCATGCTAAAGCTGCTTCATTTTCTTTAAACGGCACACTCGTATGATTTCACTGTTTGTTTTTTGTTTTGTTTGTTTTTAGAGTATTGTGTATATTTTACATAGGTCATTAATGCTGTTTTGCTTTTAAATGCATTTTTGCGTAAATTTTTATTTAACGTGATAAGTTGCTGAACCTTTGCATTATAATTTTGTTCATAAATCACCCAGTATACTTTTGATGTTCTAGAATATTTATCTTGCAATCTATCGTACATATTTAAATGAAGATTACAGTGTATATACACATAATATGTATGATAAAACTATAAACAATATAAATTTTATACTAGGAAATATGAACTCATTTGTAACTAAGGAAATACATCTTAATGCATAAAGTTTTCATAAAGTTTTTAACCCCATTTAACCCTCTACTGCACAGTGTAACCGTATGGTAACATGATACTTAAGTTCATTTCCCTGCCACTGTTTCTTTAAGACTAACATTTTTTTGTTGTTGTTGGAAAGAGAAGACCTTAGAGTAGCCAAGGATGTTCTTTGGTTAAGTCACTTGACATGCAGTGTTTTTCTGTAGCGTGATTTCTGACAGACTGGTGTATATTGTGATTAGTTGCTGAATGCAAATGTAACCGTCTATAAAAACAAAGGATTAAGTAATGGCAGATTCACAAATAAAAATCTGAAACATCACCTCCAGTAAGTTATGAAGACTTTTACAACTCAGTTTTTTATTTATTTTTTAATCGATCAAATGTGTGTGTTACCAAATGGCAAGACTGTGCAATAGTGGTATGTGCAATATTGCAATGGGTTAGCTGGCTAGCAATGTCAGCTGTGAACTTTTAAGTTGTGACAAGTTGTGAAAGCTAGTAATATAATGTTGATTAGTCATGTGTTAATGGCATTTGCATTATGCATAAAATTTAGTTTTAATGGCAACAATACTTTTGAATAGATATCAATACAGGGAACAGAGTATTAGCGAGCACCACCATGTTATATGGTAAGTGAAAGAAAAGGACAGAACTGGCTCTTCCTGCAGATGAAAATGAGGATGAGATGGGTTTTAGTGACCATGAGAATGATGCAGATGGACATTTGATAGAGACAGTTCTGGTAAATTAGCTCAGAGGCAGATAAGACAGGTGTAGTATAGTGTATATATAGTATAAAACAAATATTGTTAACTAGTAGCTACATTATTCTGATGCATCTGGATATATTAGACTTATTATTTGTTGTAGTATTTACTGGCGAAAATGTGTGTATTTACTGCATGTTGTTTACATGATAATACAGTATTAGGTTTGTTTTTAATAATATTCAGCAAAAAAAAATGAAATAAATGAAAGCTGTTGAAATGTGTTAGTATGTATAAGGTGTCATAAGTTCTTTGTTGAAGCTTGTAATACTGCAACACCAATTAAGTCATTTCAAACAACAAAATTATTAATTATAAGGAAAGTTCTAAATCTAAAATGTACAAGTTAGATCCACTGTTGCACATTGTTGCCATATGGCAACATTTCATAAAGTACCTTAACAAAAAAAAAAAAAAAAATATATATATATATATATATATATATATATATATATATATATATATATATATATATATATATATATATATATATATATCAAGTTAATTCATTTTAAGAAAAGAAAAACAGTCAACTATCTTTTTATAGATTTATCATACATGCAGTAGAGGGTTAAATGCCAGATTTGAAAAGGCATGTTTATTTACCTGTGATCCGATGAACCAAAACGCAACTTATCCAGTATAACCATGACATCAGTCATATTACATCGTTAACTCCTCTGTCTCATCCACGTTCAACATTTTTGCCGTTCCCATAGTAAGCTGAATAAACAACCTACCTGCGGTGCGTATTCAGAGGTTGAAAAACTGCGGACAGGCATGCTGACAAAAATAGATCGATTGAATCAAAAAAGCGTTCAAATTACGAAATGACGAGAATATTCACCTTATTCTCAGCTGTCGAGCGGGCGCTGCGATTTGAATCTTTTTGTCTCGCGACTTCCGGTCACATTCACCTCCATTCATTTTTTGACGTTAACAACTGCTCGTTACGCTGCTTGATGTTGCAATTTAATATTTTCTTATTATATTATGCTACTTGGTCTGTGTAGTGATGCAAACATTTGTTTGTTGAGCAAGTAGTTTGGCCATTTTCTGCCGTTTTTTATTCCTAGTCATTTCTCCCATAGGCGACTGAATCGGAAGTTCTAAGACAATCGCGAAAACAGGCGCACTTCCGTATTTTAGAATAAGATCAATAGATTTTACCACAAAACGCATTCAAAGGAAAGTCATGTAAAAAAATTGTAAGGAGTGAAAGTACTGATACAAGACAAATCGACTTAACTTTGTTTTTTTTTAACTAAGTTTTTTTTTTTTTCACAGGATCCTCTGAACAGGACATCAACACATCCTTGCCACAAACAGATCGAGAAACAGAGCCCATGGACACGAGTGCATCTGAAACTGCTGCTCTCGCCTTGCCCTGTCCCACCCCTGCCACCGCCTGACCTCTTCCAATTGGGTTTGCATGCACATGAACCAGACGCTCAAAATCCGATCACCCGATTCAAAGGATCTCACAGTATTAAAGGTCCCCTGAATGAATCAATGTTCCCTCTTCTTTAAGTGGAGGTCCGTTAGTTGGTGTACCACTCTTCTTCATAGGAGAGCTCCCACTTTTTCAGAGTATGTAAAGGCTCTGCTGATTCTCTGACACCAATCAGGACGTTGATGCTGAGTGCTCGGCCCCATTGTTTTAAATTTAGATATTTTGTTTTTGTTTCTCCTCTCAGAATACTTGAACTGGTGTATGTCTTTCAAAAATAACGACAATTGAAATATATTGCACTTTTATATTCCACTTCTGTTTATTTCATTCTTCTACCCCCACCGGAGGTCCTTCCCCTTGTTTTCTTTTCCAAGAGGCTTTGTATAAATCTAGCACTCGCCATGCTGCTATATACGGTGTAAATACTACTTTTGTTATTTTGAGCAACGGTGTAGAGGCTGAAATAGTAGGTGGCCGTCCAGCATGGGGGCGAGAAGGGGAACCAGCAGCTTATGGCGAAGTGTTTTCTTAATTGTTACAAATAAACTGCGCCGTAGTTTGCAGTTGTAATGGGTTTCTTACAAAGCTTGTTTAAATAAAGCATTATTTAAAAAAATGATTAACTTTTAATTTGCCGTCAAGGAACGTCTTTCCTTCCAAATGCTCGATTTGTGCACAGTGAAAGCCAGTTTGGTTCCTCTTACCGGACGATGCATTTTATTTCATACATCACATCAAAAGCAACAGAACAACGTTTTGATGTCTACAAATCGGTGAGTGTAAAGCACAAGCACTGTTCATTTTTGACAATACAGCATGGTTTCATAAAGGAACAAGCTTCTGACAATGTTCTTCTGCAACAATTACAGTCATTCTACAATAATATAGGTGTAATATTGTTCACCTTTTCTTTGTAAATGTATTTCCAACTTCCTGTGTTAGCCGCTGCTTAGCTGCACGAGCTGGCTGATATTTAATCATTATGCACTGGTTTGTAGCACATACTTTTACTGATATTCTAGTCGATTACCTGTGTCGGCTTTTTAAATCAACAGCTTAATTGTACGATTTGACAAACACTTTTTCCTTCTATACTTAATTTGTTAGCTCAGCATAGGGCTGAGCCGATAAATGATATTACATGACAATCACACAGCAGAAATGTGCAACAATGGGAATCTAAAAGTGCATTGATATTAGAGATGTACTAAATTTTAGGTCATGAAAAATTTATTGGCAAAAAAGTTTAATGCCAATTAATGGACCTTATTTTTGTGGCTTCAGTCATTGTTGTGGTACTGTTTTAAATCTGGAACCATTAACAACTGATTTCAGAATATTTATCGTTATCGTTCAATATGGAAAATAATCATCGAGATTGCAGTTTTGCCATATCGCCCAGCCCTAGCTAAGCACGTGTGCACTAGAAATTTCTTGTCTTGCGCTGGTGTTTTTTCTCCTCGGCTCAATTAAATGACTTCATATTCTACATGAGTTGCGTGTGCGTTCAAGTCACAATTAAAAATATTATGTCCAGAAAGAGACACTATCAATTGAATCTATTTTTAGCTTAATCTGACGTTCATTTAAATGTATTAACATCAAACAAGCTAACCAGAAGCCTGCTGGATGAACTTCTAGGTGTGATTTAGAAACTGGTCTACATTGAGCAAGCTAATTTGTTTTGTTCAGAGTATGTGACAGCAAGTTAGCCTTGTTTTCTGGAATACTCCCCTGATGTCGTAATTATAAATACAAACTACATCAGATGACTTGAGCACAGCGCGACAGAAGCATCATGGACAAACCTTGTGCAAAAATTGCATGTGTGAGGTGAACATAAAGAGCGTGTGCAGTTCGAAAACTCTGCACAAATAATATGATGATACAATTTAGGTTGCATGCAACTTGCAAAAATAATAATAATAATATGGAAGGTGGTTGGGGCCAAAAGTCTTGATATTGGAGCATATAATATTTGATTTTATACAGTTGAAGTCAATTATTAGCTCCCGTTTATTATTTTTCCCCCAATTTCTGTTTAACGGACAGAAGATTTTTTTCAACACATTTCTAAACACACACACACACACACACACACACGTGTGTGTATGTATGTGTGTATATGTATGTATGCATGTATATATATATATATATATATAGCTGAAATAAAGAAAATAAGACTTTCTCCAGAAGAAAAAAAATATCAGACATACTGTGAACATTTCCTTGCTCTGTTAAACATCATTTTAAAAAGAAAGAAAATTCAAGGGGGCTAATAATTCTGCCTTCAACTGTACACAGTAAGCAATGAAAACTGCTTTTAAGACTGTTTTCATGTGATGCAGAGCTATATTGGGATAAGTTTACAAACATTAGATGTCATATTTAATTATGTAGTACTAATATTTACGTCTGGCATGAAATGGTCAGTCTATGCGTACTGAAGAAATGTTGATCTTGGCACTGCCAATATATATGCTACTCCAAACAACTTGTGTATTAATGTGAACTAAAGAAATGGGTTCAAATTTAGTGCCTCAATTATTCATTTATAAAAAAAATTCAGACAACAAACACGATTTAACTTTCATTTAAAGACTTTTGGCCTTATTGACCTTCCATACAAAGTAAAGTTGGGTAAATTATACGATAAACTAACTAGTCGACAGCTTAAACGAGCGGATGTTTATTAGCATCAGGAGGTAGATCGTTGTTAAAGACCAGAGCTGTGTGTAATTAAGCTTGCATTAAAACATTCATGCGTTAGGCAGGAAACCAAACATTAATACAACACAAAAGACAACCTAAACTTGGTAGTGCTCAACTTTAAACAGTGCTTCTGATTTTACGTTACATCAACACTTCTCTCTCAGCTGTAGCTAAAAAGTGCAACAGATCCGCATTTCCAATCACACAAATCGAGCAACTTGCTTCATCACATGACGACTATTCATGTTACCTCAAGCAAGAATGCATTACAACAGGACAGAATGCTTGGAAATTGGCCCTTAAGGTGCTGACGCTCCTCATATCATATGACAGGACAAAGTCAAAGTGTGTTTAGCACCGTATAAAATCCACATGCGCAATTGAATCAGGCCCGTCCTGTGAAACCGTGTGGGATTGTTTATGATGGGAGACTCACTGGGAGCAGCAAGAGATGTATGCGGGGGTCAGCAGTGACATTTGGAGGCTTAATGTTCAGCTGAGGCTCTTGATGTTCTCTAGTAGAGCTTGTTTTAGCAGAACTGCAGTCTTTCCTCCGGCAGCGGCGATGTCGGCCTGCACTGCAGCGTCCCAGGAGAAGGTCAGAAGAGCTGCCGGGGCCTGGAAGATGCAAAATAAATTCCATCATACTTCCACAATTGATTGATTACAAATATGGTAGATGTTTTTCATATTCCAAGTGCTTTAAAATGTTAAAGTGCAGGAGAACACATTCAAATATAGCAAAGAAAACACTTCCATGTGTATTTTGGATCTCCCCTTTATATTAGGCTAAGAAAACGAAATTTAAAAAGTGATCTCAAAACTGACAGGAGTGTGGGCCTACCAGATTGCACTCATTGATGGGCGTCTCTTCATCATCCTTCAGTTTTTGTCCTCCGGGTGCCATCAGCTCAAAGGGTTGCCAGTCGTTCTCCAGCGAATCGCGCACAAACTGGTACAGTGCTGACAAACGCTCCCATGCCAGGAAAGTACCTGCGAGATAGAAGAAAGTTGTTTTTGTAGTGTTGATGACAACTTACATTTCAAACAATTAATTTTTCTAAAACCTTTACAAATATAGTATAGAACTAAATATATATATTTCTCTTACAGTGGTCCCTCATATCACAGGAGTTACATTCTAAAAAATAACCCACAATAGGTGAAATCTGCGAAGAAGTCAGCTTTATTATTTTACAATTATTATAGATGTTATAAGGCTGTAAAACCCCTCACTACACTATACACTTTTCTCAGACAGACATTAACATTTTCACACTTTTCTCTTGTTTAAACATTCTCAAAGTTTAAACTTTAGTATAAAAATAAATCCAGTATTATAGAAAATAACCAAAGATCAAAACCTTTTGCCAGGCGCAAACGTTCATCGCTGTCGGCAAAAGGTTTATAAAGCTTTTGTGCGCATTATGTTGGCATCCAGCGTAATGTTCTGTTTTCTGCAGTCAATGATCCACAAAGATAAAGCAGACTCCATCCTTAAGGGGGTCGCACACTGGATATGCTGCGCACATGACGGAAGTAACACACTGGACGTGCTCAATCGCATGGTATTAAAAATGAAATGCTACAGATGGTGCTCTGTGGCACGGCAGAAATATGAACAGAGTCCTGAGTTGTAGCTGGGAACCACAGACAGCTGCCGACTTGCGGCGCCTGATATACGTGTGCGTACCCTGATATAAACCTATGTTTGTATGACTGCGCATACAATGTGCGACCCCCTTTATGATTGTCTTGCTGCGGACAGTAACAACTCTTTTTGCATTCTTGATGAAACAACGCTAATGATCGATGATTTATGTTAATTTGGCAAGCTGAACGCTTTCTGTACTGTACAAGAGACAATGATCTACAGTCAGGGCGCAGAACACAATGCGCTGTAAAAACAATATATATATATATATATATATATATATATATATATATATATATATATTGTAGCTGAGCATTAAACACAAGGTGCGTCCCTAATCGCATACTTGTACAGTATTCTATGCCACTTTTTACTGCAAGTAATAGCGCATTCACACTGAAAACTAAGAATAATAGTGCACTTTTAATGCCCAGATGATGTACTTGCTCCTCTGATAAAAAAAAAAAAAAAAGTTGAACACTTAATGCATTTAACGGTTGTCGATTTGCTAGATGTCGATGTTAGTATCAGTATTGTTAGTTTTTAGGATATCTATATATAAAATTTGCATTTAGAAGATATAAAACTGATATAAAAATGTAAAGCTTGCAGTTCGTCACTTCCGCCTAAATAGATAAAGTTTTTTTTACTTTTTAATTTTTTTCATACTTCAGTTTTCCATCAAATCGTGGCCAATCAAAAGCTCTCTAGTATCTGACATGCCCCGCCCCCTTCAAGGCGCTTCACATTTAATGCCCTTGAGCTCAACCACTCTCACTGGCAGAGCGGCGATAAAGCAAAACACTATTGGCTGTTTTATAAAAGGGGAGGATGTCCCACCTTCTTTCGGTGAAGATTACGTCAAACAACAAATCAAAGCATTTCACAGGACCTTCAAGGTTGGAATATTTTACTTCTTTTTGATAGTATAAATTACATTCTCTAATGTAGGTGATTTGTTCTCATGACAGGTACTATTTGGTTGTTTGGTCGTTTATTTCACAATTTGGCTGTTTGGTCGTTTATTTCGCTATTTGGCAACCGCTAAACGAGGACAAAAACTTTTTTGGATGACTAAACTCATGCACTACATGGTTGAGTGTGTAAGTGTGTAGGGAGTAATTCTGACAGAAATATAGTTATATTATAGGATGTAATAAAGTCGACAACTTCTATGATTCCACACTCACCGTGTCATCAAAACTCATCCTCTTGTGTTTGCTATTATTTGGATAAGTGGATTAGTGTTGATGTGACGTTGTGCACCAAGGTTTAGAAGCATGTGTCAATAAAAATGATACATATCAAAATGAAGCAGTGTACCGGGGCTTGATTTTTTTTTTAATAATCACTTTATCAATGATGTTCGAAGCTTCATTTTCACTTATACCCACGTGACTGCTTTGAATTGTGATTACATGCATTTCTGCTGTTTCAAAGCACTGGACCGGTCCCACACACTAGTAATTCAACTAAAATACAATAGTTAATTTATAGTAAAAAGCTTTTGAACCATACTAAAGTGTCTTAGCCAGGACCCCTTGTTTTCACGATTCCATGATCGCAGACTCCAACGCAAAATCAACCAAAAGTTGAAAATTTTTGCGATCTTGCAAAATTCTTTAACACAAAATAATCACACAAAATGTAAATCTCATAAAATATATATAATATAATTAAATTCTATTTATTTCAGTTTGCAATGAATTGTTTTACGTGACTTATAGTCGTGGCAAACGCAGCGCACATGATGTATCTCGAAAAATGACGTCTCACCTGCGTCCTCACAACCATTACATTACACGGAGGAAGGGGAGGCTGGAGTTTTTAGCTTGTGCAGTGAGCAGACACAGATGAAACACGAGTGATTTACATCAAGTCAAAGCAAAGATGAGACGTAGACATTTTGTGGCGCGAATTGGGCATTTTGTGCGTTTGACGCGCTTCAGACTGCAAAAGAAAGTTGGAGCAATGAAACAGACAGGAGATGAGATTGGATCAAGCGTGATGGCCGAACTGAAGGACATTATTTGTGCTTTACATGTATAGCTGGTATTATGATGAGCGTTAAATCGATAAAAGTTTTCGTGGAACTCTTTCCCTACACTTAAAAGAAAATCCTTCCCTCCCATTTTACGGCAATCCCTGCTTTAGGTGTATTACGGTAGGAGAAGCCCTAACACGTGTCATAAGTGTGACATGATGTCAGATGCACGGGGAGTGAAATCTGAGAGAAAGTAAGATCGTGGATAAAAAGAAGAGTAATACAACCTTCCTTTGGCTTAATAAGAGTCTTTACAAGAGACCAAAATAAAGAAGCTTTATTTTTATGATTTGTGTCATTGTTTCAGATTGCACACCTAACATAGTAGGCTACCTAATATGGTAAATACATATAATGTTTTAAGTTTACATATATATTTTTAATTGCAAAATTGTCCGCACATTTCTGGGAATAACCGCTATAATATCAGCCATTTTTAATTGTGAAAAATCGTGAAAAAATAGGGGTTACGATTGTTGTATTATTTACAAAATATTTTTTTTAAAAAGGCCACTGCATACTTGGTAAAGTGTTTAACGGAGGCCATGCCGCTGGCGAGTTCACCATGAAAGCCTCACTACCATAGCCTCATCCTTAGAGCATTCGCCTCCCATGCAGGAATCACTGGTTCTATCCCCTCTTGTAAGGAATGGGTGGGTGTAGGACCGGTTGGAATACAATAAATGTAAATACTTTTGCATACCTTGTATTTTACTACAGTCATCGGTGGTGTAATGTAACAAACCTTATATTTAAAAAAACTACAGTAATTAAGTTTATATTACTAATATAATTTGTTTACTAATTACTAATAATTACTAATAAATGACTAATAATTTGTTTATATTACTATTGTTGTATTACTACATGAAAGAGTTGTTCAGTTGTGAATGTTTGACATTTTTGCAACACCGCGCTTTCCCACAATTTACCCAGCAGAGGTCCTCAGCGAGCTCTGATTTGTAAAGCTTCCAGTGACTGAAACGGTTCACTGGTTCAGAAAGCTTAATTTCACCATCACTACAGATTAGTACGGGACAGACATGCTAGTAATGTTATGTAAATTTACTAACAATCCAAAGCTACCCACCCTGGAGTATATTTCCATCTGGTAGCCTCACTCTCAAAAGCGCATAGTTGTATTTCCGTCTCTCTCTCTGCTCGTCTTTCTCGCGCATGGCTTTCGTTCGCAGCATTGCGTTTCTCTCCACCATTTCACTCCTGTGAAGAAAGAAGCTCGTTAAAACATGCCAGGAATTCATCAGCTTGTTCACACATGTTTTATGCCTTTACTTCAGCTGTTGTTCCTTCTTCAGCTCCTCTGCGCTGAGGTTATAGAAGTCTGGCGGCAGCTCAAAGTGTGTGGCGTTCTGGGATGGCCTGAAGACCTGCAGCTGACGGTCCAGCTTGGCTCGAACTGCTTCGCCTTTCTGCAGCCGCTCCAGATGAATCTTCATCTGCTCCAGAGCATCCGAATCCTGCTCAGGCAACACCAGGAAATCCTCAGTCTTTTCTGAGAAGCAAAAAAAAAAAAAAAAAATGAACACATTACCTTTAAAGTGAAAGTTTACTCATCCACTGTCACCAAACCCTTATGAGCTTTCTTTCGCCTGAGAAGAAATGAAGACATTTTGAAGAATGTTAAAAAACTGTAGCCATTGACATCTGTAGTATTTGTTTACCTACTTTGAATGTCTCAAACATTCTTGAAGAGATCTTCTTTTGTGTTCAACAGAAATGAACTATTCATTTCATTTAGGTGAAGACAGACTTTTTGATTCATTTAACTATTAAAGTCCAGAAAATGTCAAACTGCAAAAACATTCAAAATCTATTGATAAAAATATGTACAAAAAAAAGAAAAAGTACTTATCTGTTGCACAAAATCATGAGGTTACAGTGATAAAAAAAACAGTTATAATCCCATAATTCTTGAAAATCTTTTGTTCAACAGAAAGGAACTACCCCTTTAGTTTAGGTTGATGACAGACGTTTTGATTCTTTCATTTTCTTTTCAGCTTAGCCCTTTTATTAATCTGGGGTCGCCACAGCAGAATGAACCACCAACTTATCCAGCACATGTTTTATGCAGCGGAAACATTCATACACTCATTCACACACACACACTATAGGGATCCCGCAATTGCGGGGGAAACCGGAGCACCCAGCGACCTTCTTGCTGTAAGGCGATCATGCTACCCACTGCACCACCGAGTCGCCACATTATTTGTTTTCCATTCTTTACAATATGTTCTTTTGTGTTCAATAGAAATGAATAGAATGTTTTTTTTTTTCTATTTAAATTAGGTTGACCACCGACTTTTTGATTTATTTAACCATTAAATTGAAGTCCAGGAATTTTTTTACTGTAAAAAATGTATTCAAGAAAAAAAAAATGTAAGCATTTTGTAAACAAAATAATAATAAAAAAAACTGTAATTCACTAAACAGCTTTACATCACAAGATTGCAAAGAGAGCAAACATTTTTTGTTATTATTATTAAAGTTTTTTAAAGGGTTTTCACCTTTAATTACTATGACAGAAAGACCTAGAGGTGGGAATTAAACAATTTTAATCTAATCAATTCTCAAAGAACAAAATTCAAGCCCCGACATACATTATTTCTTGTTTGAGAAGCCATTTCCATTGAAAATTTCTTTTTTACAATAGTTCCTATTGTTAAATAGGAACTCCTGGTTCATGCAGACTTTAAATTACGCATATTTATTTACAAACTATTTAGATTATTTATTTAAAAAATTTGTAAAAGTTTTTATTAATATTTCACCCTGTCCCGTCTCTCCAGTCTCCAAACACTATATATATATATATATATATATACATATATATATATATATACATACAGTTGACCTCAAAATTATTAGCACCCCCCCCCCCCCTTGAGTTTTAATAACTTATGTCTAATAACTGATTTATTTTATCTTTACCATGATGACAGTAAATAATAACATTATCATATCTTCCTCAAACATAATATTAAATATTCTTTTGGAGGTCACTTTCAAAGCCAATATTTACATGCAATTAATTCATCAGCAGACCACGTAATTGCATTGTTCTTTGAATATAATGTTATTTTTATTACCTTCTCCATCAATCGGCAGCGTGCTGCTTTCAAAGCCCAGAGCCTGCAGATACTCTCGAGCTCCTTCAATCCCACTGACCTTCTCCTTCAGTAAACACAAGTCAATCCGCATCAATATAACATGCGTGTACTTGTTTACCTAATTCAGTTTCCAGACAATGAAAAGGATCATACCTGAAACACTTTGTTGCCAACTTTGATCTTCCTGTACTTTTCCTCAGTTGGGTTCTTACAGATGTTTTCGATATACCTGTTCACACATAATCGCATCATTACACTACTGCGCTGTTGAATGCGCAATTCTGATTGGCTGATGAACATTTTGAGGCGTGCAGTTATTTCCAGGTAAACACACGGCTAAAGTAGTTGCAGTCAGTTCTTGACTGAATTACTGATCCACATTCAATTCAGGTTTATTTGTATAGTGCTTTTCACAATAATCATTTATTTTTATTGCATATCATTGCGCTGAATGATTTCAGTTTGCCTAAAATCAACTCAAAACATTCAATAAGGCGTATAATAAACTAGGACTGCACACAGGAGCTGTTTTAAGATAATATCTTGAGAAATGTCTTGAAGCACAACATCTGAACAATGTCTTTAAGTGTGTATGTGGTATATTCACAATAATCAACACTGGTCTATTTAATTATTAGAAAATAATGCAAACTCACTATTTCACATTCTAGCCGCATCACCAACTTGTGTATTATTTTTCTAATAATTAATAATTGGTTATTATTTACTTTATGATGTTAGCATTAAACAGTCGTACTTGCTAATAATGTCGATGGCAGCTTTGACTTTCTCTTTGTCTTTGTTAAAGGTGTGAATCATCATAATGGAGGCCTCTATCGCATCCTCTGAGAATCTCTGCGAAGAAAAAAAAAACAGGTACTTGAGATAAATGAAATAAACAAGTAATTGTTCAAGATTATGGTTGCCATATCCTCACCATTAGAATGGCTTCTTTGATGTGCAACTCTCTTTCAGCCTTTGTGACGGTTTTTCCGGTAAGAGGACAGGTGAAGAAAACTCCTGACACTGAGAAAGACGATGAATCCCTCTGTGGAACAGCCGAGCCCTTAAGAAGGTATAGAAAGTAGAAAAAAGTTATGCTGGGATTAAATGGTTACAAAAAATATGTTAATTGTTTTTAATAACTTTTTTTAATAACACTGGGTGTTTTGTTCGTCAGACTCTTCAAGAGTACAAATTACTTAAATTTTACAAATCATCAATCTGTAAAAAGGTCGATCTGTCTTTTCCTCACAAAACATGACATGTGGTTTCAAAAAAGAGACTGTGAGGTTTGTCAGCTCTGCCTCTGTATCGCATTTCAAATCATATTTTGATATTAAAATATAATACTGGTCAGCACAGAATTTTTAAAGCGACAAATTATATTCCACAGATGAAAGGCAACTGTACAGGGGTGCGTTTCCCAAAACTATCGTTAGCAAACTAAGGTTGCAAGTTCCGTCGTTACAAACATAGTTTGTTGATTTGCCATTTCCCAAATCCGTTGCTCCAACGAACATTCGCAAACTGCATCGCAAACTTGAGCACTCGCAACTAAACCTCTGGAACTGTAATTATAAACATAGTTCCTGGCTGTGTTCTATTCCCACTTATCCCCCCTATGCCCTATTCATTTAGAACATTTTAGCATTCAAAGTTGGAATTATTTTAAAAAAGCATTAAAGTCATCTCTTTTAGGTGTAATTTGCTTTCAAACTACTTTGACAGTTCAGTTTTAGTGATCTTCATGTTTACAATTGTGCTCCCTTCGCAGTGCACTTTGTAAACATTGATGTCATTTTGAACACAGCCGTGGCTCATGATGAAAGCTATAGGTGACCTAATATGTAAAAGCGGAATTTATGTTACGTCTCCAAAGCTTGTGAAAACAAAATATATAGCAGACGTTAATTCCTTTAATTTATAGTAAGTTATTTATTAAGTATCTGTACTGTATATGACATGGGCCTGCTGGATAGAATTTCTGCAGTAGTTTACAAGTGTCAAATTGTAAAAGTAGACTTTTCAAAAACTAAATAAATAAATAAACAAGTTTCTACTTAATAATAATAATAATCATGATCATTAATATTTTTATTAAAGTATGATTTTTTTTCATTTTTAATAAATAATAAATATTATATTTCTTTTTATAATGGGAAACACTCGTCTCTACATTGTTCTTTTCCCAAACGATGCATCATACTATGATAGTTCAGCGGCGAGTTACGTACCCCAACATACCCCAAGTCAATAATTTATTTGTTTGTAAATGAATATGACAGACTAAAAATATATTTCAATTCATTGGCTCCAGTCTCTATTCACTTTTATTGTGAATAGACTTTCATTAATACTTTTATTAATAATTACTGTGAAAAGCGATATACAAAAAATACAAATAAAACTATACAAATAAACTTGAATTGAATTATTGTTTGAAATAAAAAGAAATATAAAATATGATATATGTCAGATTGTGCAGATCGTAAGTAAACGCAGAGTATCGCATAGAATCTGCCATTATATGGACTACAAGATCCAGTCATGCACTGCACTGACACACCGGTTGCTAATCCTGGCTGATTGCTCACTCGCACAGCTGAAGCTGCTCAAAGACTGAATAGTTGGACTATTTATACAGCACACTAACACACAGCCTTTGCGGAGTCTTATTTGACAGTTTTGTGACATTATGACGCGTTTTCCTTGCCTCACTATGTTTGTTTGTTTATGTTGTCTGTGGCCTGCCTGTACTGACCTATCGCCTGATATTTGACTACGACTCTGGATTGCCTGTATACATCTGTTTACCCCTGTGTTGACCGTTGCTTGCCAAGCCATTCTCATAATAAACCTGGGTTTGGATCCGCACCTCTGTTGTCATCGTCCCACTTCATATTACAACATAATTACTTGTTTTTTTCATGTTTCTAATAGGATTTAAGAAAATGTAAGCATTTGGAAGTTGTAAATATTTTGGAGTGTTTTTATTTACAAGTAAATAAAATTTCCCTATATTTTACACATTGTTATTATTATTAATAATAAGTTAATAAATACAATCAATAAGAAACACAAACATTTTCAATTCCTTTCAATGTAATAACATTTTCCATTTATACTATTAATTTATATACAAATACACAATATGCAAAACTTTAGATGTATAGTAATTAATTAACCATTTTAATTGATGTTTAAAATTCAGTTAAAGTCATCTTTATTTCTATAGCCCTTTTACAATGTAGATTGTGTCAAAGCAGCTTAGCAAAGAAGTTCTAGTAAATTGAAACTGCCTCAGTCCAGTGTTAAGAGTTGATGATCAGTTTAATGTAAAATAATGCGTATACACACGAAGGAGGAGAACAATACCCAGTAAAACCCTCAGACTTACCTCGATCTCTGTGTTCTTAAGACTGGCCACTACGGCAGCCGCCTCTGCTTCCAGTTCTCGCTTTACTGAAACATAACAACAAACCATTAAAGGGCACCTATAGTGAAAAATCTACTTTTCAAGCTGTTTGGACAGACATATATGTTGGTATAGTGTATAGACCGTCATATTGGGGTGAAATAAACACACTCAGTCCTTTTTTAATTTTTCAATTTAACAACATAAAAACGGTGGACCAATTGGAGCGGTTTTCATACCGACCGCAACTTGACATAGGAGTACGCTCCCCCCGCCCACCGAATTGATTGACAGCTTCACGTAGCATGTCCTGGTAGTCACATGTATAATAATCATGTCAACAAGACCAGACGTGCGCAAAGCAACCGGGAATAAAAGGTCTGTTCAGTTCGCTAGGATCATCAATCATCATCAAATGTGATCAAGAGTGAGTTTCACATGTTTAAAATGTTTTAAAACAGTGCACGTGTGTAATGAAGTACAGAGATTTACTTCAGCATTACTTCATCAGCACAGCCGTGTGTCAGAACAATTATAAAGGAAGACGCTTCAATCCCAGTTTGTGGACATTAAATCAGGTTTATTTTGTACATAAACATAACAGATATCCATACAGCAGTGGAGATTAGCCTGTATCCTGTCACATATGCGTGCAAAAAGAGTGGGAAGCTAAACGCGCTCTGTCTGTCAGTTTGTGTGTGTGTGTGTGTGGGTGTCGGTCTGTTTGTGTGTTTGTTTATCTGTGTGTGCACGCGCACATAAACTTTGTCCATTGACATTGTGTGTGTGTGACTCATCGATGCATCTCCACAACAAATTCCTCATTGGTAAAGTTCTTACTGTAGTATTTCTCACAAACGCTACGTGAGATCTTCTTCCTGTCTGTTGTCTGACGCAGCCAAGGGAGGAGATTAAGGCACGCAGAAAGACATGTAGAAACGGGTCGGACTATCCTTAAAGGTGCAGTTCGACTAAATGGCCCCCTTCTGGAAAAATGTTAAAAAAAGGATCTTGTAAAAGGTATAATAAAAAATCTGATGGGTGTTTTGAGCTGAAACTTTACAGACACATTTTGGAGACTAGGGCTGTGCAATTAATCGAAAATCCGATTTCGATTTTAGCTTCTAACGATTATGAAAAACCATTAATCGAGATAAATGATTATTGCATCATATACCGCCCCTTTGCAGCTGCTGAACACATTTGTTGCTCTTAAAAGCGCAAAAGACCGCATGCTTATGTTTGTGTGTATGCGGCCAGCACACACACAGTCAGAAGCATGTTTTTGCGTTATTTCAAGCAAATTCGTACTTCCTGTTTGAAACAAATTTTTGAAGCTGCGTCACGGTCATGACATAATAGCCTGTATTCCAGCGTGCAGACTGGGCGTCTGTGCCAGAGTGAGTCTTATTACGTCTTACAGTGTGATGCATTAATGCATGAGTAAGGCTTGGTTCAAACCAATCAGCGCGCTCTATTGTGCAACTTCATTAATATTCATTAGTGTCACCGTGTTTTCAGGACAGAGACGCCACGTTGTGTTGGCAAAACAAGCGTGAAGTGTTGCTTTTATAGTTTGCTGCCGTTAAGTTTCGTTTTCATTTTCTCTCTGTGAGAGCTCAGACTCACGTGTGGATTAACAGTGTACGCAACGCTCGACAACAATAACTTGCGTGTCTAAGGAGGATTATTGTTTACCTGAGAGCTGTTCTCATCTGCTAACGCTGAGATCCAGATTCGCTTGTAGTATTCTCTTCATAAAGACGCGGCTCTAGTTGCTGTGGATTGTCCTGTCTCTACAGATTTGGTAAGTGAGCGACCAGTGCTCTTTGTTTATTCAGTTTGTTCGTATCGAACCAAGTTAACTATTGCACCGTAACATGTTAGCACCACAACCAAACTTTAACCTCGTGTAGGGTTTTCAACCGCATTTAGTGACCAGAATAACACAAGCGGCTTTCTGACGCTACCTGCCGTGTGCATCTAAGTTTCCGGAAAATGCGGAGGTTTTTTTTTCTCTCATTCGCCGTGCGGTATCAAACATTGCATGAAAAATACACGCTTAGAGCAGATCCTCGAATCAAATATCTCGTTTGTCGCGAGGGGCATGAATGAATTCCCTGAATGAAAGAGCCAAACTGCAGTTAAAGTCCAACATTTAATAGTTTGGCAAATAATTCCACAACAGATGTCCATGTAGGTTAAACACTTTTTAAAATCACTTTCTCCTGTGTGTGAGTATTTTGACTGAAACTCGCGCGTGCCCAAATAGACACTCCCACACTCTCCCACTTTTCTTCCTCCGACACTACCCCCTAAACAGAGCTGGACACGCCCAATTTTCTGACTTTTTCCAAAGTAGAGGTGTGAAAACACCCTGCTGAAACGAGGGGGTTTCATGGCCCTTTAAGCATTTCTCCCAAAGAAAAGCCTGTCTAAGCAAAATGCTAGCATGAATCTGTAGCTATTTGGTTACCCCCGATCGGTGCGATGACGTGCAAACAAAATGGCCCAGGTTGGCCACGCCCACCTGAGCTTCATTTGCGCTCTTCAGAAACCCATGGGTGACGTCACGAATACTACGTCCATATCTTTTACAGTCTATGGTGTAATCATAAAAGCAGCTAAATTATTTGTAATTGTAGGCTATTCATTCAAAAGATCAGTTCAAACTTTTATGAAGCCTTTTAAATAAAATAGGTTATTATTGTATAAAAATATAACATTTTGAAATATTTATATTTATCGGAATATATCAGATATCGGCCTCCAAATCTTAGAGTTATCGATTATCAATATCGGTCTAAAAATATTGGTGCATCCCTATATTAATTATTAACCAATGATTTCCCATTGCTCCAAATGTGTGTTCACTGCTGTGTGTGTGCACCCTTGGATGGGTTAAATGCAGAGCACAACTTCTGAATATGGGTCACCATACTTAGCCACATCAAAACAAACCATTATTACTGAAACAAAATCTCCTACTTTTTACTGTAAATATCACACACCAGTTGTAAAAGTAAAAAAAAAAAACTTAACAAATAGTTTACCCTGATTTCTTATGGCATCCTGGGACGTGTGCACCTTGGGCCGGTGCTGCTGCTCGATCCTGGCGAGGGCCGCGGCCCCTGCCATCTGTGCTCCCGCTGTCGGTGCCTTCCTGGACGCTGCATGAGAAGCCTGTGAGGCCTGAGGTTTAGAGCTGCAAAAAACAACAACAACAGATTTCACTTATTTCTCTAGTTAAAACCCTTATTGTGACTAATAACACTCTAAAAAAAAGTCACTCCCACGTGACTGGCACACTAAGCCTGTTAACCTATGCGTAATTATAGCGTTATAAAAGGATAGTCTCACAGCTCGATCCTGTTCCGTGTTCTGGATCCAAAACTAGCAATGTAAACCTAAATGTGTAGCCTGTGCTGTATATGTCGTCAATGTTGGGATCAGGAGAAATGTAAACATGCATATATGTTGTCGTATATCAGTAAAAATGGCATTCACTTCTATTGCGAGAAGGTCTATAATGGCATTTTAATCTCACCATATTAACGTTGACGTAATGTAGAGCAGTTTTCATGACAGACCTCGTACACACATCTGATGTTTGTTTTGTTTTTACCTTGATTCATCTGTAAGTTTCTTCCCTGGCCCTGCTGACTTGAACTTGATGTCTTTCTTGATGTCGTCGAAAAACTTCTTCATTCTTAGAGATAAACTGTATGCTAACGAGCTTTTTTAAAATGCAAGATAACTTGTTTTTAATTATTTATAACTGTCAGACACACCACCACCCAAGCGATGTGTTTACAACGGGAAAGGGACTGTTTCTGAACCGGAAATGTGGTAATGGAGAGGTCGTGACGCAAACCTGGAGTTTTAGCGACACCAAGTGGAGGGAAGAAAAATGACAATGGTTTATATGAGCTGAAAATCAGAGATATTTACACCTGTGCATGAAAATAAATAAGCGTTCGTTTTTTCATAAAATATTAAATTGTATTAAGACTTAATTGTATGTATTCATTCCTCTCAAAAAGTATTTATATTGTGAGAATAAAATCAGATGTTAGAAACAAATTAAATAAATTGTAATAAACGTTTCTTTATTTTACTTTGCATAATAACAGTTTTGGGGTGCATCATACTGAAATAATAAATTAGGAAAAGAGAAATAAACTCAAATGTGTAATATTTCATATAAATTTTTACTTTCTATATAGGAAAGTCAAGTTTTTGTTGTACATCTTACCGCAGAATATGAAATGTCATTGTAAAGTCTCTAAAATATATTCATACATTTTAGAATAGATGAGCGAAATGTTATCATATTTTTGTTTTAAGTACTTTTATCTTGCCCAAACATGTAAAACCTGATCACAGCAGTAAGTTACGTGGAACAGAATTTTTGTTATGAACGGCTCTTTTTTATTATCTGTGTAAATATGTTTCATTTTTCTTAAAACTACTTTATGTAAAATTACTAAAATCATCATAAAGATCCCAGATATGAAAAATAAATCGCTAAATCTTTCGTATTTCTATTAAATTCGAACAAAAACTTGTAAAGAAATGCAATCTCTTTGCAAATTTAAAAAATAAAATACACGTTTACTCTAAGGTCATTTCTAACACTTGTTTCATAATCAGGTCAGCGCGAATCTTGATAAAATTTTATTAAATTACAGTGTTTAACGGCGTACACATTGTGCAAAGAGTGACAGACGGTTCCTTCAATCAGCGGTCCTTGGAGGGAGGGACTTCCGCTGACGAAAAATGGAATTGGCGGAAACCGCCTGCAGTAACCAACCGCCTTTCCTCACGTACTGTATCAGATCCAGGTCTCGCTGTCTGTCGGCCTGAAAAACGGACCGTGGACGGATAGAAACGAGCAGAACGAGGAGCGGTGCATAGAGGGACGACAAGATGCCGCACAACTTCCGGCCCGGGGATCTTGTCTTCGCTAAAATGAAGGGTTACCCTCACTGGCCGGCCCGGGTAAGAGCAGCGGGAGCTCGCGCAGGGTTTGCGGTGCTTTGAGCGCACACCCCCCCAACAGACCCTCCGCAACCAGCTCTAATTACCCTCTAATTTCCGAATGTACTCTGCATATGTGCAGATAAACCTGCAGTGTATGCTGATTTAGAAGCTAAGCGGGTGAAGGGATGTTTTGTTTTGTAGTATTTGCTTGGTAATGAATGTATGAAGCTAGCAGGCTGGCTAACTTGTTTGCTGGAGGAGCAGCTAAGGTCGCGTGATCGCAAAGTCCTGTTTATTTTAGTTGGGGGTCGTTTTTAGATGCATAATTTGGGAAATGGGAATAAGTCCTTTATTTGGAGATGAGAGTTTTGCATTGTTTTGATTTAATCACATGGAAAGTGTAAATGAAGGGGTGTTGAGTTGTAATGTTTACACATGGAGATACTTTGCTGCACGTGTTTCACTCTGTGCAAAGTGGAATATTCATGTGTAAAAGGATTTTTGTTTTTATGAGCTTTAAAAAAAATGAACATGCAAATCACCTTATATTATACGTTTTTGTTCTCGCAGATTGAAGATGTTGCAGACGGGGCTGTCAAACCACCTCCTAATAAGATCCCCATTTTCTTCTTTGGGACTCATGAAACGTACGTAAACATTATTTTGTTAAGTGTGCACCAGGTTGCTATTAACGAGTAAAGATCTCGTTATGAGCTTTACTGTATTCTTTTTCTTAATGTTGACTAATGAAGTATTTTTAAAAGTGTGGTTTGTGCAAAACGTGCATGGAGTAATCTTATCTAACCCCACAAGTCAACAGGTGCAAGTGTAGGACCCTTTTTAAGGCATAACTTCTGTGCACAGTCCATATGTGGATTTCCTTTCTTCTTTCATTTTGGTGTGCAGTTTTTATTGCTAAGGATGATATTATAAAGATTTTTAGTGATTTGTAAGCTGAGGTTCATATCTTTTTGATTTAAAAACAAACATGTCATCTCAACATGAAATGAAAAGTTAGTCTATCTGTTGTCCAGCTGTCTGTTATGCATCTCATTGTGAAAATAAGATTTGTGGATTAAATAGTTATTTTTTTTCCTCTTAAATGTAAACAAAGTGTTGTGACTGGATATTCCACTGTAAATTACAGACTTTTCCAGCCACAAAAATGAAAATGTTGTTTATATGAGTAACCCAAACACACAAAAAAGTCTTGTGTGTTTGGATGAAAGGTGTCATGAAAACATAATACTATTTAATATGTGACCCTGGACCACAAATGCAGTCTTTTGTTGCACAAGTATATTTTTGGCAATAGCCAAACATGTATTTTAAAGGTCATTCTTTCTCTTCATGCCAAAAATTCATTAGTATATAAATAAACATCATGTTCCATTTAAGATAGTTTTGTACAGTTCCTGCAATAAATGTATGAAACATATTATTTAATTAGCATTATACATTGGCAAGTGATTAATCTGAACAACTTTAAAGCTGTTTTTCCTCAATAATAGGATTTTTAAACCTTTAAATTCTAAATGAATGTATAAATCACAATTTCTATGACTTAAGTCATCTATGATCATAATTCTGAATTTAACTTTTAAAATGTTAACTACCTTCCAGAGCATTCCTTGCACCCAAAGACCTTTTTGCATATGAAAAAAACCAGGAACGCTTTGGGAAACCCAACAAAAGGAAAGGGTTCAACGAAGGCTTATGGGAAATCCAAAACAACCCCCATGCCTCCTATAACACCCCTGCTGTAAGTCTTCATTTCAACCTCCAAAATCATCTGTCGATTCTTAAGGGCTGTTCTGATTTGTCACATTATCTTGTATTTGTTTAGGCTGCATCATCATCGGACAGTGAGGACAACCAACCTGCTGCTGCAAGTGATGCGGAGGAAGAAGAGGAAGCAGTGGTACCAAGAAAAGCCGAAACGGGAAGCGATGATTCTGACTCCGGGAGTGAGGATCAAAAGAAGCCCGCAGTGAAGCGGAAAGCTCCTGCTCTAAAGGTATCAAAAAACACTAAACATCCCCAACATAAACATTTACAGTGTACATTTTTTAATTCGTTTCTTCACAGTATGATGTATTACACTTTCAGCTGCTTTGGTTTTCTGTTTTTAGAGCTGTTAATATCAAAGATTTAGTCAGTTAATGTCAGTGCGAAATCAAAATTAGTTTATTTTGCTAGCACTCATTGTTAGTCTGGTGCTTCTCATGGAGAGGACTGTTTGCCAGATATTTACAAAACTTTCTCTCAGCCGCCATTGCTGTTGTGTTTAGCTGTACACTGAAGCAGCATGACACATTTAAACTTCTGCCTATTGCAGCTCAGGGATTTCAGAATGTTATAAAACAGTATACCCTCACTCTGTTTTATCAATCTTCTTTTTGCCCTCAAACGAACAACACTGAGACCTTGAAGGTGAACAATGAATCCATCCAATTTAATCCACTGATAAAATATTTGTTTTGGTAATCTTCAATCATTGTCTGACCACTTGCTTCTGCAATGGAATGGTGGTCTTTAGCCTCAGTATTCTTAACCATGCCCCTCTTAAGAGCAGTACACTCTAAGTTGACGGCAAACAACTAGCACAGTTGAAACCCAGTCATGTTGTTTCCTCACATTGGCTTATGTCTGGTTTAGTCTATAGACCTTTTTCTTGGAACGCAAAATTACCCATGATGCTTTGCGTGTATGCGCAAGGAGAATGCTAAGAACTTCCAGTCAGCACCTGATGCATGTAAACAGTCACATTTGGACAGCTTTGAAACAATAGTTTTAATTTATTTTACCAGCTTTTATCATCTTTGAACTAATTCGGTTGTCCATCAGCACCATCTCCTGGACTGATCATTTAAAAAAAATGCGATCTAATAGGATGGAAAACAGCTGCTGTGAGGCGTTTTTCCCTCATTGTCAGACGGCATCTTCTGCCGTTTAAATGAAGCCTCGTCATCGCTAAAGTCAACAGTTTCTCTTTCTTTCAAATATATATAAACAACCCAAACAAATGTAGTTCACCAAAATGTTTGACAGACACATACGTAGCCTGTACTGTCCCACTGACCCACTGATTTAATAACTGTTACAACGTGAAAATATAGGTGTGTCATTTCGAAATGACAGAAAAACACAAACCGTAGTAAAAATAACACATGAAAAGAAACATAAACGGCTCGCGATTAGAATGAACAGCAAATCAGCCAGCAGAGGATCAGTAACAGACTTTTACTGGTCATTTTTGTAAATTGCATGACTTGCATAAGTTTCATGCTAATAATACAGTTTGCTCTATAATGCAGCGAAGTATTGTGTGTGTGTGTGGAAGTGGCCGGGAACACACACACACACACTGTATTTCTGACGGCAGACACGTGAACTATGAGAATGTTTTTCTCGTATTACTGACGGGCTTGAACCACATCTGACAAATTAAAACGGCTTTAACAGACACATTTCTAAGTTTTGTGTCACAAAAACACTCTGCAATATATTAAAAACGCTATTGAAACCCATTTTCAGAGCGCAAATTACCAGTTGTAAATGCTGTAAATGGAAGTTTTTAGCATTCTACTGGAAGACGCTGGTCGCTATGGCGCCCACCATGCAGCAGCCATGAAAAAGGTCTATACCAAAAAGCTGCACACAAACACACCAAACTCGGCGGCAGCTGACTGATTCAAGAGCATTTGTTCTGCACCTGCTCAAGAGGACGTGTCTTTCAGCACCGCAGGGGGCAGTACCGGAACGTCTGATGCGTACATGCAATGCATAAACAAAGCAGTGTTCAGTACAACTATCACAGTAATTGCCACTAGCTACAGAGGGATTTCCTTCTGCAAATATTTCTCATAATCTAATAATCCATGTAATTTGCAAATATTTGAGAAATAAAGT